GGTTCCTACTGTGAGAAGCTGGGAGCCTGGCATGAAAGAGTATTTGTGGAGCACATTTGGGTACTGACAGCAGACCAGCTGCCTTTCACAGGATGCTCTGGTCATGACAATATCTTTCCAGGTGACTTCATTCTGCTCTCTTGGTATATTTTATTAACTGTATTTTTTTAATTTTATAGGAAAAAAGAATAAAAGAAAGTCTTTTCTAAAAGAAACTATCAACTTTCCATCCAGTGACCTATTGTAGATAATAATTTAGATGTTTAACAACTCTCCATTGATGCCTATTGCCTATCACTATGTTCTATTTACAGATAAAATGGCATATCAGAATGACTTTATCAGACTTTAGAGACGGAATGGTAATCAAAGGACACATGCCTTTCATAGAATTTTATTCCTAGATAATTAGAAAGAAGATAAACAACTAAGCAAATAAATAAGCCAAATAATACAGGTTGTGATAGAGGTAAATAAACAGGAAGGACTATGAACTTTATTCTGTGATATCTCAATGTCTGTGATAGAGATAAGCAGGGAGTTCTAGATCAAGGATGGCTTTCCTAAGAAGGTAAAGCGAAAACTGGGTTATAGATGATGAAAAGAAATCAATTATTTAGAGACCCATGGGAAGAATGTTCTAGGTCAGCAATTCTCAACCTTGGTACAACTGACATTGGGGACTGTTTTGTCCATTGTAGGATGTTTAGCAGCATCCCTTCCCCCAACTGTGACAACCAAAATTGTTTCCAACCATTGCCAAATGTCCATGGGAGATAAAACCATCTCTAGTTTAGAACTAGTCTTCTAGATATAGGGAACACAGAATGCAAAGCCTTGAACAGCACGAGATGTTGTTGCAGAGGAAGGAACAGATCATTCAGCGGTCTACAGGCCTGGGCAAGAATTTTGGATTTTATTCTATGTAAATGGAAAGTCACTGAACAATTTAAGTTGGGGAGTAACATGTCAATATTTTTAAAAGACTATTAGGCTGCTGTGTGGGAAACAGATTTAAAACCATGAGGATAAATGAGAGCTCACGATCAGGCACTAAAGCATATCAACATTTAAAGCAGATTGAAAAGTACAAGAGAAAAGTAGACTGAGAAAGGAGTCCATGAGATAGGATGAAAGCCTGAAAGAAATGATGTCACAAAAAGAGATGAAGATGTCAAGAAGGCAGTGACTAGATTTTTCTGGCTGGCTCATCCCTGAGTCATAGCCTAGAGATGTCTCTTATTGCCTAGCTATAGTTTCCCCTACAGTTCTTCTGTATTTTGTTCCAAATGAATCATTCTGTCCCAGAACTTACAAAGGCTTCCCACTGTAGTCCTGTACTGGCCTTATTCAATCCTGTTTCTAAAACTTCGCCCTTTTAAGTCACATCTGTTCTTCAATGCCTTCAAATACACCTGCTTATAACCCTTCCAAGCTGAAGTTCATATTTGATCTCCCACAGAAGCCCTCTCCAACTTTAGCTCACACAAATGACTCTTCAAAAAAATCAACAAAACTTCCAATATTTTACTCCATCCAATAAACGCTACTTGTTAAGCATCTGTGCTGGGCACTGTGCTGTGCCTTGGAAGTATGAAAAAATCAGAGGGCTTAGTAAGGTAATTCACTTCTCAATCCTCATGAATGCATTTAGGAAAAAAGGATTTTGTCTAGTTTCTAATCCTGAGTTAGTCATTCAGCTACTACTTCTCTATGCTGTATTTTACTCTTCCCCACCCAGCTCAGTCATGGTTAAGCTGTTGATTACCTCCTGGAACTACTGGATTATAGCTCTGCAGGACAGAATGTTGCTACTCCTGTCAGTCATCAGTGGCAGGGTGCATCTAGCCACAGGGTAGCACATTTCCCAAAGTCTGAGTTATAATCAATCCAGAATAACACTAAGAAGTGTGTAGGTGTGCTGGTGGTGTGCACTTTGGCTGAGCCTCAGCTGAATAATCTAAGGTGTTCTTTGGCATGCCAAGCCTACTCCCTTTCATGATCTCTTTGCCTGTGTGAGATGCAGAGACTGTTAATTTGGGTCCAGCCAATCAGAAACTATTAAACTGAACACACACACATATCCCTCAAAGACAAATAGTAATAGTTAATATATTTTGACCTTCCCAACTACAAAGTTTTCTGGGAGCAACTGCTCTCCTGCAATGTCAATTTTCCAGTTTTTCATGTTTGCTTCATACTCTACCCTCTTGATGCTTAAATGTATCATTTAAGGTGTATAGTCAGGGTTTAGTCAAATTCTTGAGCAGGGTGAACTGAAGCATATTCTGTAATCTCTAAATAAGGAAGGGAGTAGTCTAAGCCATTATTATTCACAGTTCAAATTATTTCTCAAAGGTAGAGGTGGGGGTTACTCTATCAGGCACATTTGCAGAGAATTATAGTACAACGTAATTGTTATAAAAATAAGTCCAAAAAGGGTGAAAGAATGACAAGTCTTTCTCAGAAAGTTACGAAAAGATTCATGGAGATAAGTATTCGAGAGAGAACCAAAGAATCTTGAGAGGACCAAGAACACACAGAAAGCAAGGAATTCAGAATGATTAATGTGGAGGAAGTGGAGGAAGAATGGCAGATGAGTTTAACAGTCTGATCATGAAAGGCCCTGAAGGGTGGGTCATGAAAAATTCTTAGCAGAAAAGTATGATCATATTTTCATGTTAGAAAAATTATTAACAGAATGGAGGTTGGACTGGTGTGGGAAATAACTAGAGGATATCTTGTGAATATTGCAATAGTACAAGGGAGATGAGTCATAAGGGATGGTGATTATTTGAAGGACTAAGACAGAGTGGAGGGGTGGATTTGAGAGACACTTAAGGAACTGTTATAGTGAATCCCAAATTTCTCTTCAAAGAATCAGTATGTCAGTATGCTCAGCTCTCGTATTGTTTAATTCTCTATTTTAAAGTTTAACTTCCTTGGAATTCCAGTAATGAGCCTTTTCCACCAGTTCTAATCAGTAGTGCACATCTGTTCCCACGTCCCCGGCTCCATCCTGACTCATCCAGTCACTTGCTCCAGCCACCATCTTTGACCTAGGTCACCCCTGGCTACCTGCTCTGACCCACCTGTAACCGTCCTTCTTGCCAAAACACCCACCCTGCCACTCCAGCTGGTACCCTTGTTCTTTTTAAAATGGCCAACTGAGATTAGTCTAGCTTGTATGGTCTAACCTTAGCCAATAGGGGAATGACACGGCAGTAGGGATGACCCCCTCAGGCATTAAGTACCCCCTCTCTGCCTGTCCAAGCCTGCAGCCACCATTGCTGCATCTGTACACTTCACCCTTCTATAGAAGTAAACTACCTTGCTGAGAGGATTTATCTTTGCTATTTCTTTTGCGGCATCAAAATTTTACTTGTAACAGGAAATGAGAGTCAAAATTTGATATTAGAAAAGAAGAAATGAAGGAAAAGTAACAGGGGTACTCATGGATTTCTGACTTGGGGAGTTGCATGTCATCATCTGAAATAGGGAATGAAAATGGTGTAGGTTCCAGATGGGTGAGGAGGGAGATGGCATCAGGAGCAAATTATAGTAAAGATGTCCATGCCTGTTTGGGACATATTGAAGGTACTGTGTGAAATCCAAATGAAGATGAAGATGTTGCTTAAAAATGTCGGACCTATAGATCAGACTTAAAAGTCTGACGTTTTTAAAAATCAAAGTATAGATATAGACATACACCTGGGAGTTGCTGGTGTATAGGACACTTGGTAGGTAAGTCCATGATGGGAAAGAGACTGCTCAAGGAGACATGAGGATTAACATTAAACAGAAACAGCAAAAGAAAATGGAGTGCTGGAGAACACAGAGACCAAGCAGAACAAAAACAATATTTAAAGTAGCTGTGTAATGAGGAGAAAATAACATTAGGGAAACTGAAGGGAGAGTTGATGGTGTGCTCTTATTGTTTTAAAAATGCAGAGTAGGCCCTTTCTTCCCCAACTCCTCCCAAAGTTTTTAGTATTTTGAGGGCAGAAGCCACGGCTTCCTTTCATTCTATTTCCTACAGTGTCTAGTTCAGTACAGGGAACATAGTAAATGCTCCATACATTCTTAAGGATTCAGTCTAGACATTACAAACGGGTCCCATTTGTCGCCTGTGTCAACGTCGAATATTTCTTCCCCGTTTCTTCAAATAAAATTTTAGAAGTGCCTCTGGGTTTACTTAAATCCATTTTTTACAATCAGTATTTTCTACTTACACCAGATTTGCAATTGAGTTCCAAAACCTTATTTACTTCAGAGATCTTTGATATCAATGACGATGGGTTTTGCTTTTACTACTATTCCTAAGAAACGTTTTTTAAAATCAAAGTTTGGCATAATTCCCCGCAGTACTTTTTAAACTTAAAATCTGTTCGAAAGCACGGTGAGAAGGCGGCCAGTCTTTTCTGACAATCATTAACCAGGACAACAGGCTTATTAAAGCTATCTAATTAAAGGCCACGAAACAACCGCTTGGGGAGTACCCATTCACGCCACAGGAAGTCATTTAACTGCAAATAGATCGTCTAACGACTCACAGAAAGCTATAGGAAACTGAGTGTCTGCTTGGCGTTTTGATGACAAGCTACGGATTGCTCTCTCAAGCGACATCTAACCTAAGCGCAGTCCTCGGTGGATCCCCGTTCTCGAGCTTAGAAAATACTGAATGAACTACCGAGAGCATCAGAATAATCGCCTCCTCCTGAGGAACTAGCCTCTCTTCCTCGGTACACCAGACAGCACGTCCCACAACTACCTTTCACCCCACAACCAAGCTCCAGCGTGACGCTCCCGATTTGGGGAAATGTCTCCCGGTCTCGCGCGATCTCGCGCCTCCGAGGACGCCAACTATATCGCGCTCGCCATCAAATCCCCGCGGGAATAGAATTCCGCAGGTCCGGAAAGCCGGGAAATAGCGTGCGGAGGCGGGGTTACCTTGGTGAGCCTGAAGGCGGAGCCAACTCCGAGGGGGCGGGCTCGAGGCGGGGAGAGGGGCGGGGCTCCAGGGACCTGTTGATCGCAGGTGTCACTGGCCTGACTGGCTCCTGGGTATTGGGGCGTGTGCGCATGCTCCGCGCTCAGGGTCGGGCTCTGGGCGGCGGAGACCAGCCGTCTCTGCTCTAGTTCCCGGTGAGCCTTGGTACGTTGGCAGCTGTTGGTGTGTCTGGCGGGTGTCGGCGAGAAGCGGAGCTGGGCCAGCCGGAGGCAGCTCTGTGGGAGTGGAAGGCCAGTATTTCTCTATCTGGACCGTACGCTCCTAGCGCAGAGAGGGTAGTAGCTCAAGGTAAGTCTCGGAAACTAGCCTCTGGTTGGAGATCCGGCGACCTGCGACCCCCGCGGGCCTGACCCAGCTACTCTCATTCTGGACCCCGACCACGTCTCTCTCCTCGCAGCCGGGAGACCTCCTCTCCCCGCCCGGCCTTCAGGGCACACACTCTCTTTACTGGGCCGTTCAGGCGCCGGAGGTCACGCAGCCCTCTAGTCCCTTCTTGCTGCGTCTGGTGGAGATGCCTCTGGCCAGGCTGGAGGCGCGCGCGAGGCTGGAGGAGGTGCTGTACTTGCTGGGTCCTGGTTGTTATTGCTGCCGTGTTTGCGGGCGGCGACGGGGCAGAAGTTGGAGTCCTTCTGGGGTAGTGAATATTACCCTTACTTGGCTCCTGCCTCTGGCTATCCAAGCCACGTTACCTCGCCTGACCACACAGTTTTTTTTATATAAAGGTGTCCAGGATGGTTATGCTCCCTCCTTGGAGAAGAGAGATGACTGGACTTGTGAGGTTCTTGGGGTGGTGGTTTCTCAGTGATAGTGGTGATTTATATAAAGTTAATGTTTAGCTTCCAAACGGCGGCTTATGGGGCATTTACTAAACTATTTTTAAACAGCGTTGGAGGACAGGAAGTACTTGCACAGGTGTAATAGGAAGGGTTTCTAAAACCTGCAATCAGAGGATGTTTTGAGGTTTGTAACCCTACTACAAGATTTTCTTTATCATTGCAAAGTCTGGAGTGCATTACCAGTTGGACAGCAAAGTTTTCCGAACGTTTCCTTATCTGGAAATAGATTTAGGTGTGTGTGTATGTATAAATATATATATTTTGTGAAGAATATCAAAGGCTATTTTTGATTTAGGTTTAACAGTAAACAAGAAGGAAGGGTTTTGTGATTAGGCTCTGATTCACTTTTAGTTCGTTCTTTAAAGAAAAGCCTTGCTAGTTTTTCGCTATTTAAAATGAGTAGCAAGTGTTAACACAAAATGTCTGATGGAAATGAACTTTTGGCTACATTGAAAACTTGTTAGTTTTATTTTCTGTTCTTTTCAGTTCCATGATGATGATCTAAGCAAAGACCCTTCGTCTTGTTAAAGATAAATTGTTTTAAAAACCCAAAGTGAACAAAACTTACTCTGCAAAAGTAATATATGATTTCTCTGCTGCTGTCATAAGAATTCAAATGGACAAACTCAGTGTAAGTAGGAGTTAATTATCGTCCGAGAAACAGGGTTTTTGTTTTGTATCTCAAAGACTTTTAAAATAAACTCCTTGATACAATTTGTCCAGGTTCTTGATTACTGGTGATAAACCATGAAAATGATTTGTTAAGATTTTTTCATTAATGAAACTGGTAGGTGTGTGTATTTCTTCCTAACGTGTAAAAAATAAGAGACTAAGAACTGGCCTTTCCTAAGAATTTAAAAATTTTTTTTGTAAATGTATGTAGATTGTATAAGTTCATGGAATATGACGCTAATTCATTAATATTATTTTCACTAAATGATGCGAAAGATAGTTTTTAAAAAGATATTTTAATGGGAAGTTAGACTTTTCCACCTAGTTTATTCTTTCCTCAAAAAAAGAAAAAAGAAAAATTACAGTACTCTTAAGATCTGCCATATGTGCTGTAATTCAAGTTCTTTTATATTGTTTAGTGTTAGATGTTTATTTTACACTATGTAGTATCAAGAAATACAGCTTTGATACCATATGGTTTACAAGTTTGTTTTAACAAGACAAAGTTTCAAAATGAACATTTTTATCTTATTTAAGGTTATATATAGCTTTAAAAGCCAAAATCAGAATTATTTTCCCTCCTGGAGCTGTTTGGAACTCTCTTACTTACTGGGGTAGGAGGGGGTACATTGCTTTACCCTACAACTTTCCAAAAATATATTTGATCTTTATAAAGTGGTGGATTAAACTATCCTACAAGGATGTTTAGTTATTAAAATACTTAGGAGATCCTTTTTGACAGCTTTAACTATAAGGTATTTCTTGCTTGTAGACCTCAAAACAACTTATAGAAAGTTGGTTAGTTTATATATTGCATTTGGTAGCATTTTGAACACAGTGTGCTAGGTGTGATAGGACCAAGATGATTGCCAGTTTAGCTTACGCTTGCTCACGAGCTCTTGTTTTAAGGAAGGAAGTGTGCTGATTTATGCCATCTTTGAAGAGCTAGGTAGAAATTAATGATGTTCAAATGTAGTATTGTTAATTTTACATTGATGATTTTTAGAAAATTTTGTATTACAGTATTTGTACATAATAGGAACAGGAAATGGATGCAACCTGTTCTGCTACAAGTAAAAATCCTCAAAGGTTAAATTTTAAATAACTTTATGTAATATCCTAATCTTTGCAGGTTATACATTTTTTTTAATTAATAGGAATGTCATAGATACCATGTACAGTATATAGAATATTCAGGCAATTAATGTTATATGTTCTTCCAAGTTAATGCATATCCTCTATCAGGAGTTGTTGAACCAAATGCCCATGATTAGAACTGTGGTCTGTGGTTATAATTGAGTTTTCATATAATTGGTTTTCTTTGTGATCTTAGTATTTTTTCTTTTTCTTTTTTTAATGCTATTAATTTCATTTTGTTCATTTACAAACATTATTCGAGGAGGCTTCATTATTAGGTCATTAAAGATGTCCATCATACAAAAAAAAAACAAACAAAAAATTACAAGCCATTGCATCTGGCTAAAGAATTTTGATTTTACATGAGACTTCAGAAAAGTTACTTCATATACTCATCTTTGTAATTCATCAGAAATTTTTCTGCAAAATAAACCTTATTCCAATATCTTAGTTGTTTTTATGGACAAAATCAGTTATTTGACATGTCATGCTATTTTTGAATTAATTTGAAAGTAATTACATTAGTCTTCTATTTTACACATACTACAAAAAAGAAGTTTTAAGAAATACTCTTCCTTTGGAAGGTTTTACTTCTGTACTTTTCTGAGTTAGAAGTGTTCAATAAACATTATTGACCTACTATTGTATGCTAGGCATAGTACTAAACACTAGAAAGTCAAACATTAATTAATTATACAATGTTGGCAGGGCGCTGTGGCTCACACCTGTAATCCCAGCACTTTGGGAGTCCAAGGCAGGCAGATCACCTGAAGGTGGGAGTTCAAGTCCAGCCTGACCAACATGGAGAAACCCCATCTCTCCTAAAAATACAAAGTTAGCTGGGCATGGTGGCGCATGCCTGTAATCCTAGCTACTTGGGAGGCTGAGACAGGAGAATTTCTTGAACCTAGGAGGTGGAGGTTGCAGTGAGCCAAGATTGCGCCATTGCACTCCAGTCTGGGCAACAAGAGTGAAACTCTGTTTCAGGAAAAAAAAAAGTCATTAAATTTGTAGTTATATTTCTGAAAAGTTGTACATTGGTTGAAAATTTCTAAATCAAATATCTGTTGCTGACATTGTTATTTCAGAGTCACTTTATCTTCCTTTCTGATCCATGAACTGCAAACATTGTAACTCATTTTCTCATTCTCTCTAGTCCAGAAAAGTTTTATAAATGAACATTTACAATAATTCATGGTGAAAATCCACTTACGACGTGAAGCATTCCCAAACATACATTTTGTAAATTAGGATTTTTCATATGCTAGTTATTCTTAAACTAGGATAGCTCCATAAATAAAATTGGTTATCATTTACTAAGAACCACTACTAAAATTTTAAAATTAAGAAATTAGCATTTCATTGGATAGTTTATCTGATCTCAATCTGAATTAAAGCCATAGTTAAGTTTAATATATCAGTTTAAGGTATTTCCTTAAAGATAACAAAATGGAATATGAAATGTATAATATAGCTTTTGCTTTTTTTCTAAATTCTTGTTGATGTTAAAAATCATTTTACGTGGAAAAAAATATTATTATAATTAGGCTGCATTTGTTGAATGCCTATGTTTTGACCGCTTGTTAGGTAATACATGGTTTATGATTCTCACAATAGCCCTGTGAACCTTTCTATATTGATTTTGATTATAGACGATAAAACCGATACACTTTTAATGATTGAGTAGTTGAGTAATGTGTTGCTGTAAACTTTGTCAGAAGAGGAATAAATATATATGGGAATTATGAAATCGGTGGATTCCATCCTTGTCAAGAACCCATCCGGGTATTCTTTTTCCATCAGATACCTCATGCTCTGGCTTTTCCTTAACTCCTCAGCCTGCATGATAACCTATTGCCTTTCTCATGGTGCCCCCCCCCCATACTTAGGTTAGCAAATTGTTTGAGCCCCAGATTTTTCCTCCTGTATGTTGCTGCCATATAGGCCTGAGATAATGCTCCTTATTTGTCAGTGTAGTACTGACAATGACCTAGCTCCCAGATGGTAGGTAGGAAATTGTCCTGTACTCTAGTGCCTAGGTTGTCTTTGTTAGGAACACTGTTTTTCCAGAGGGTTTGTTGTTTGAGTTTTTACTTTATTTCCTGGGCTTCCTTTGTTAAATACTTGATGATAACTTACCATGCACTGTGTTTTGTTCTAGATGCTCGTGATTTGCTTTACATTCTAAGTGGATTTGGAGAAGAGACAATAAAGAATAAACACCGTCAATACTGTAATATATGAGAAGGTGAAAAGTGCCAAGAAGGAAAGAAAAAGTAGAGCAAGGTAAGAAGAATTGGGAAAGTGTGGTGGAGATTGTGGTGGTTTGCAATTTTAGATAGGTATAGGCCTCATTTAAGTGATTTCTTTTAGCAAAGCAGCGAAAAAAGGTTATGAAGGCAGGGAGGGCAAAGCCCACAGGGGAATAGCCAGTACAAAGGATATAAAGAACAGAAGTTTGCATGGTGTGCAGGAATGACATCCAGGAGCCTGATGTGGCTGGAATGGAGAAAGCCAAAGGTCAAGTAGTTACATGAGGGGCTGGGCAGGTAGTGACATTATGATTTAATTTTAGAAAGATCTGTGTCTACTCTCTGGAATAGACTTACATGTTACTGTGTAAGGGTTGAAGTCAGGAGAGAGACAGTTATTCTATTAATTCACACAAGATGTGATAATGGCCAAGACTAGAATTGTTGAAGTGGAGGTGGTAAGATGGGGTCAGATCCTAAAATGTGAGAGAAAAAGGAGTCAAAGATGACATCAAGATATTTGTTCTCAGCAACTGAAAAGATAAAGTTGCCATTGGCTGAGATGGGGAATAAGGTATAGATAAAGAGTTCAGTTTGGGGCTTTGTCAAGGCAAATAAATGTTAGGTTATTGCTGACTTGACATAATTTTCTTCTGAAGATCATGTCGTAAAGCAGACTGCTTTAAGCCATTTTCTTTAATGAACATGTCCTGTATTCTGGATACATGTGTACATTTGTTGTCTGCTAGTCAGTTATTAGTGGAAACTGGTGACTAGGTAAAAGCCACCTGAAATAAAGCACAGTTTTTTAATGGAGCAAAAAAGTGGAAACTTACTGATTTTCTTTCTTTTTGGGTATATATCACTAGGGATTGCTGGATTTTACGTTGCTCCTTTTTCTCCTGGAATTCATGTAATAAAAAAAAAATATTCTATTCCTACTATTTTTTATAATTTTTTAATGATTTAGATCATTTTAATCACTTTATTATGCTTTATAATAAAATAACAGATGTGTATTTTTCCCTTGTGGATTATGTTATAATTAGTATTACTTTGGGAACCAGTAAATCTGAACTTTCACTTTGTCTCTTTTCAATATCTATATGCACATAATAAATTTTGAGAAATAAACATAAGAAGTTAAAAGTTTATTATATGTTTATCTTTTAGTGAGATAAATTGAGCATGAGTTAAGGTGCCCGATTAAAGGAAGCTTAAATTACACCAATATTTTGAGTTGTCCCTTTGTTTGGCCCCTGTAAATTTTTGTAGTAAACCTGGAAAATAGAACACAGTAAGATGTAGGACAGGTGAGGGGTTTATTTCTTTATTTGGTAAAGTAGGAGAAAAGCAGTTGTGAAAGTAGAACTGGGAAGGAACTATAGACGAATTGTTAGCCAGATCAATTCTAGGAAAGTGTCCATTTGGAAGTGGCAAATCTATAAATTAAGTCCTTTAAATCTAACCATACCTTTAAACTCTGGGAAAATGATTGTTTTCTTAGATATACATATCCCAGTTTGAAGATCACTGCCTTTAAATGTAAGAAAACCAAGATTTTAGGGTTGGTGAAAAGTCAAAAAAGGAGAAGGTGACTTGATAGAGGACAATTTAGAAATCCCAAGTAATTTAAGAGTTTCCTTTCTGGTACTTCCGTGTCTAAGATCTTCCTGATGTGCTGCCAGAATCTTTATGTTCACATTATTTTTCTTAGTGCTACCAGGGTAATCTTAAAACAGGTCTGATCATCATAGGTGGTGGGGTTAGAGGTAAAAGTGTTAAACTGGCACTAAGGTATATAATTCCTAATTTTAGCTCTGCTATTTACAGTCTCTAGAAACTGGAGTCCATTACTAAACTTCTCCTGACCTCATAGTTCTTATTCTTGCACTATCAAAAGAAGGAAAAAAGTTAGTTTAGTTCAGTGCCTTTCATACTTTTGTGCCCATGACTCAAAGTAAGGGAGATGATTTGCATGACGGTCTAAGTACATATATCCATATATTACTTTATTGGAGACATGAATTTCTTTTTAAATATGTATTTATTTATTTGATCTTATTTTGTTTTTTTGAGACAGAGTCTTTCTCTCTTGGCCAGGCTGGAGTGCAATAGTGTGATCGTGGCTCACTGCAACCACCATCTCCTGGGTTCAAGCAATTCTCTTGCCTCAGCCTCCTGAGTAGCTGGGATTACAGGCGCACACCACCACACCTGGCTAATTTTTGTATTTTTAGTAGAAACAGTTTCACATTTTGGTCAGGCTGGTCTTGAACTCCTGACCTTGTGATCCACCCATCTTGGCCTCCCAAAGTGTTGGGATTACAGGTGTGAGCTGCTGTGCCTGGCCTGAATTTCTTTAAGCAGAACCTGTGTATAAATGCTACATTAAGCCCAAAGCAGCCATGTTATATTATACTACACAGTGTTAATAATGTGACCTGTTAGAATGCAAATTACTGTACACTAGCCAAAAGAACATTGAACTAACACATTTTAAACTTGTCTTTCTTATCACGTATGAGGTTTAGAATTATTTAACAATCTAAATCAGTGCTTTTAAATGTTGTGGAGTTAGGGAGGGAGGTTAGTTCTAAACATCTTTATAGATCTGATTTAAAGCTGTAGTGGGGAGGCTGAGGTCACTAGAATTTGTGGAATAGAATGCTTGAAGGGAAAGAATTGCACAGAGAGAAAACTCAATCTGCACAAGAATGTCCTTGAATCTCTGGCTAGGAACTGGGTACAGGGAGAAACTCCAGGAGGCTGGGAAAAGGAGTACTTGAAAGTTTAAGAAGGGAAATTTGAAACTATGTTGAAATGAATAACATTGAAAACAATATAGCAGACTGTGTGGGATTTAAACTAAGGCAGTGTGGAGGGAAATTTATTACATGAAATACTTATATTAGAAAAGAAGAAAGCTTTAAGCTTTTATCAGAAAACTGGAAAAAGAAAAGCAAATTAAACCCAAAGTAAGCAGAGAAAGAAAATAATAGATTCTGGAAACCAATGAAATAGAAAACAGGAAAGCAAGAGAAAAAAAAAATCAGTGAATGAAAAGCTGATTCTTTGAAAGTAAAAATAAAATTGATAAAATCCCTAGCCAAGACTGGTCAATAAAAGAGAAGATACAAATTAACAGTATCAGGAGTGAAAGAAAGGACATCATTGCAGACTTTACCAACATTAAGGGGATAATACAGAGTATTGTGAATTTTTTTCCAATAGATTTGACAACTAGGTGAAATGGGAAAAGTCTTTTAAAGACACAAACTAGGAAAGAAGAAATAAAAACCTAAGTAGCTCTTTCTATCAAAGAGATTGAATTTATGATTTAAAATATTCCAATAAAGAAAATTCTAGGTCCACGTCAGGCGCGTTGGCTCAAGCCTTTAATCCCAGCACTTTGGGAGCCCAAGGCGGGTGGATCACGAGGTCAAGAGATCGAGACCATCCTGGTCAACATGGTGAAACCCCGTCTCTACTAAAAATACAAAAAATTAGCTGGGCATGGTGGTGCGTGCCTGTAATCCCAGCTACTCAGGAGGCTGAGGCAGGAGAATTGCCTGAACCCAGGAGGCGGAGGTTGCGGTGAGCCAAGTTTGCACCATTGCACTCCAGCCTGGGTAACAAGAGCGAAACTCCGTCTCAAAAAAAAAAAAAAGAAAGTTCTAGGTCGTGATAGTGCTACTGATAAATTTCTTCAGTCTTTTAAAAATATTGAAATAATAGCAGTTCTGCATAAACTCTACCCAGAAAATGAAAGAGGAGAAAACACTTCCCAATTCATTTTATGAGATGATTATAACTCTAATAACAAAATCAGACAAAGATATCACAAGACAATTACAGACTGAAAATCTCTCATGGATACAGACGTAAAAATTATTTTAAATTTATTAGATTAAATCTAAAATATATAAAAAGAATAGGTTTTGATAAGTTGGGATTATCACCGGGAATACAAGGTTGATTTAATGCTTGAAAAATGATTGTAATGTGCTTCATTAAGACTCAGAATAATATAATCATCTCAGTATTTACAAAATTACAAAATTTAAACATTTTGACAAATTTCAACAACCATTTAAGATAAAACTTTCAACATATAGAATCATATAATCATCCAATATTTACAAAAAATTTTGACAAAATTAAAAAACTATTTAAGATAAAATTTTCAACAAACTAGGTATAAAGGGGAACTCACCCAACCTGATACAGATATCTACAAAAATCTACAGCTAACCTTATACTTAAGATGAGAGACTGAATGATTTTTTCTTAGATTGGAAGCAAGATCAGTATTTATGTTCTCTATTCTAACATTTGGCATTGTACAGAAGGTCCTACCCAGTTCAGTAAGGCAGAACAAGCTGAAAGAGGCATGCAGATTAGCAAGGAAGAAGTGAAAGTGTCTAAGAAATCTATACAATGACTCCTAGAGCTGAGGTTGCAGTTTTTATTGTCAGAACACAAAATCAATTATATTTTTGTATGTTAGTAATGAAAAATTGGAAACCAGAATTGAAAACATCATTTACTATAATGTCAAAAAAGATGAGATAAATTTAAGAATATGTATAACCTGTATACTTAAATTGGCAAAACATTTCTAAGAGAAAGAAGACCTAAAAAAAAATGTAGAAAGACATAATATTTCTAGATTGGAAGTCTCAATATTGTTAAGATGTTATTTTTTTTTCAAAGAGGTGCTTTTGGTATAATTGTTGACGTACCTGAAATATTTATAATTCATGTAAAGTAATGTCAAAAACAGCAGTTATTTTTGCTCCAACCCAATTGAATAGAGAGACCAGAAATATATCTACTACATCAGTAATCAATTAATTTTTTTTCTTTTTTTTGAAACAAGGTCTCACACTGTCACCCAGGCTGAAGTGTAGTGGCACAATCACAGGTCACTGTAGCCTCTACCTCCCAGGCTCACACAACCCTCCCAGCTCGGCCCCCTGAGTGGCTGGGACTATAGGCATGTGCTACCATGCCTGGCTGATTTTTCTATCTTTTGTAGAGATGGGTCTCACTATGTTGCCCAAGATACTCTCGAACTCCTGGACTCAAGTGATTCTCTCACCTCACCCTCTCAAAGTGCTAGGATTGCAGGCATGAGCCACTGGCCCTGGCTGTAATCAATTAATTTTTGACAAAAGTATTCCAAAGCAATTTAGGGATTAAAAGCATACTCATTTTTAAAAATGGTGCTGGAAAATTGGATTTTGTTTGAACAGAATTAACCCAAAGCCTTATCTAATGCCACACACATACACACAAGCACGCACGCACGCATGCACGCATGCACACACGCACGCACACTTGAAATGAATCATAGAGCTAACCATAAGAGCCAAAACTTTAAAACTTCTAAAGGAACACAGGAAAACATTTTTTTGTGACAAATATCAGGACACAAAAACGCAACAATCATAAAATTAAAGAATGGGTAAATTGGACTTCATCAAAATGAAAAACTTTATCATAATTAAAGAACACTTAAAAGTCAATAATAATTAAACAGGAAAGGTTCCCTTGTTCCCCTTGCAGGGCATGTGATGGGGGTGTGACTGGCTTCTTCAGTGCCCCACTGCTTAAACCTCTAAGGGAGCATGCAGATGGGCAGGCTGTGGGCCTCCGATCCCACGCAGGGTCTAGGGGTGAATGTTTACAGCTCCTGATGCCCCAGTGGGCGTGTGTTACAGGGTGCTCTTTTAGTTTGCCTATAGGCGGCTTGTGTTAACCAGCTCAATTAGACCCTCTGCCTTGTCACAAAACAGAGGGCTTTCTGTATCTCAGAGTTCTTGCCTTGGGGTACCAGAAGAATTGGATCACAGGTGGGCTTGGAGAATGAGTACAAAGTTTTATTGAGTGGAAGTAGTTTTCAGACCATGGGGAAGCCAGAAGGGAGATGGTTTTCCTGTGGAGTTGGGCCACTCATTGGCCCTGGCTCTCCTCTGACTGCCAAACTCTGCCTCATCCCACTAGTCAATGGCCTGGTGGTGTGCCGGTGTCTGTTGGTGTGCTTTTCTTCTAGGTGCCCCTTTTGAGGACCAGCTCCTTGCATCTTCTTCCGCTGATGTGCCCATCTTGACGCCTGGTTGCCTATGTGTCTGCTCACTAGTGTTTTGGGTTTTTGTAGGCCTGGGATGGGGGCATGGTGGGCCAGGGTGGTCTTGGGAAATGCAACATTCGGGCATGAAGGCAGGAGTGCCTGTTTTCACCTAGGTCCATGGGGTGGATCCCTAACCAGGGACCACATCCTCTTCTACCCAACACTTCCCTTCCCTGCTTCTGTATCATTTAAAGGGACCATGCTCCCAGCACTCCCGTATCAATAACACATACAACCTAATGAAATAATGAGTAGAAGATTTGAATGTATGTTTCTCTAAAGATATACGAATGGCATAAGCACATGAACAGCTACTCTGCATCATTAGTCATTATAGAAATGCGCATTATAACCATAATGTGATACTGATAAACACCCCCACTAGAATAGCTTAAATTAAAAAGACAGTAACAATTGTTGAAGATGTGGAGTAGTTACAGCTCTCCTACATAAGGAGAGAATTAAAAATTGTATAATATTCAAAAACTTGGGAAAGCACTTTGGCAATTTTCTATAAGGTTAAACATACATTTACCTTACCATACGGTATATACAAGAGAAATGTGTCCACAGAAAGAATTATACTTGAGTGTATGTAGTTACTTTATTCATTATAACTCCAAAATGGAAACAACTCTAGTTAATCTATCTACTGGTAAAGAGATAAGAAAGAATATTACTCAGTAATAAAAAGGAATGTATAACTACCGATTTGTGCAACAGTACAGATGAAACTCAAAAGTATGAGACCATTCATGAGAAATTCTAGAAAAGTTGAAACTAGGACAGTGGATCTGTGTTTTCTTGCGGGTTGAATGTATTAATTTTCTATTACTATCTAACAAATTACCACAATTTTGACAGCTTAAAACAATGCACATTTATTATTTCACAGTGTTAGTGGGTCAGAAGTCTAGGTCGTTTTTTAACTGAGTTCTCTGCTCTGGGTCTCACAAGAGGGGTCAAGGTGTCAAATGGACTGGCCTTTTATCTGGAGGTCTTAAGGAAGAAGAATCTGCTTCTGGGTTCATTCAGGTTGTTGGCAGAGGTGTTTCCTTGTAGGAGTAAGGCCCGTTTCTTTGTTAGCTGTCAACCAGGATCTGTTCTCTTATGTTAAAGACCCCCTTCACCTTTAAAGCAGCAATTACACATCAAGTCTTTCTCATGCTTCAAATCTCTTTTTCTATCACCAGCCAGAGAAAGCACTCTGCTTTTAAGGATTCATGTGATTACATTAGGCCCAACCAGATAATCACCATATTTTTAGGTCACTTGTGCCATATAACATAGTGTGATAATGGAATAGGTATCATATTTACAGGTTCCTGTAGGGTACGAAATCTGGGGATGTGGGGAGTGGGTACACTTTCAGAATTCTGCCTACCACACTTAAGGAAGGTTATTGCCTGTGAAGGGGCACAGGAGAGCTTCTCAGGGTGATTGTGGTAATGGTTACATGACTGTATGTTTGTCAAAACTTACTGAACTGTACACTAACACGATTAATTTTATTGATTGCAACTTATACCTCAAAAGCTGGTTAACTTAAACATCCTATGTACAAAAATATTGTACATATGAAAATTAATTAGCTCTCACTGAGATACTAGTGACCTCTGAATTGTTTAATTTGTAACTTATAAAATAGCAAATAGACTAAAATATAAGTAGAATAGAAACAAATAAAATAGAAGAAAAAGTAAGGAAAACTACAGTTGTGTAGTATAAGTAGACTTAGATGAATAAAAGGGAGGAAGGAGTTAATTACTAGCTGTTCCTCTAGATCTTTTGTTAGAGTTAGATTCCCTCTACCCTGCCTTCCTTATACCAGGTATTCTTCCTGGGTATTATAAAGCTGAATGGTCTGAGCAACATAGTCCTAGACCTCTGTCAGATACAGTAACAATTGCATACAACATAGACCATAGTGGCCATCTGCTATAATCCATCCAGCCATCTATATATGGTGCTATTATGTGAAATAAAGACTAAAATAATGTTGTCCTTTTGGTTCCAGTATAATAACTACCATAAACCTGGTGTTTCTGATATTCTTTCAAGCTGCCACTCTTCTCACTTACATGCCCTTTCTTTAGCATTTCATCTATTCTTATGTTTATATGTTCATGACTTGAAAATCCATTATGTCCAACCCTGAACTCTTCCCCAAGATTACCTTTTGAATCTAAATGTTTACTGGATCTCTCCCTTTGAATGTTCTATAGAAACTCATTCATTTTATCCTAAATGGAACTCAGTATTTTCTCTCAAGCTTACTTTCCTATAAATGCTATTTGAGTTGGTATAACAATCCTACTACCATTCATTGTAGAAATCTGGGAACTTTCTTTACTTTCCTCTCTGCTTCATAGGTTTTGCTGACTACTTCTGAAAGATGTGTTATATTCATCCCCTTTTCCTGCTATCACTGCCCTTGTGTAGGCTCATGCCATCTCTCCTCTGCAATCCTTCACCAGCCTCCTGATTTACCTGTTTTACTTGCAGTTTAATTTACCTCAAATTCATCTTATTCATTGCCATGTCTGTTTATACCACAAGTCTGATTGTAATTTCCCTGCTTAAAACCAACAAAAGCTTTTCACCACCTATTAGGTAAAGGCTAAATTTCTTATGTGACCTTCAAGAGCAGCCATGATCTGACCCCTGGTTCTGTCTACCTCATACTTTATTATGTATATTACTTCATTACTTGGTTCATAGCATTTCTTTGAAATACATCTCATCTTCCCAACATACACACAAAACTTGTGCTCATTTTTCAATATATAGTAAGATGTAACCTCTCCAGGAAGCCTATTTTGCTTCCACACAGATCTTATGTTATAATATGCATATGTCTGGCTTTGCATATTTATATGTTTTGTTCTTTTTTTCTTTGGGCTTCAACTGCACATCACTGAGTTTAATCTTTTTTATTATCTAAGTTGGCTGTCTAGCCCTGTTTCAATTATACATATATATACTCCTTACTCAGGTGATCATGTATAGTGTATATGTTTTCACACATATATTGTTTTACCAAAATGAGGTAATATTAAGTTTCTGCATTTTGCCTTAGTCATTCAAAAACACTGTTGTATTTTCCTGGAATTTGATCTTGTGGTCTGTCTCTGGAGAATGGCTATAAACACTACTCTTACCCTGATAGGACTTCAGGAGATGTGGTCATGGGTGTTTACAATGTGCTTTTCACAGGATACTTCTTTTTCCTGGCATATGACCTAATGCCTTAGTGTCCCTGACCCTCGACAGGTGTCCCTCTCACAGGAAACTTGTTTATACTGGCAGATGCCCTTGTGACTCTTGTCTTACCTGTGTTGAGTTTATTTCTATCAAGATAGCCATTCTCTAGGAGAGTCCTGACCAGAAAAGAAGCTGAATTCAGGTGTAATTGGGTGAGATACACAGGATACGACTCACCAAAACATGAAATAACAGAAGCAGTTTATTACTTACAAATCCAGAGACAAGAGGGCAGCACGTCTCCTATGGCCAACTGGAAGTGGGGAGCCACTGATACATGCACATTCAACCACTGGGTGGGGAACAAAAGACAGAGAGAGGGGAACTTGTGGGCCAAAACCTTTACCGGGGCCCAGGGTATTGCCTAGGTGGGTTTCCTGTAGGGAGTTCTAATTGGTGGGTTTAGAGTATGTGGGTACATGTTCCATGGAGTCACTGTGACTGAAAGGTGGTCACTGTGGCATATCTGCACAGCCTGTGCATGCTGTGTGAGTCAGCAGGTCAAGTTATGTGGTTTGAATTTCACTGACCACCTATAAAGAGGTGGTGAGTAGGAAGCAGTTGTATGAAGTAGATGTCTGTATTAACCACACTGAGGAACTAGGAGGAGGTAGAAAACTGGAAACTGTCAGGCTTAACAGAGCACTGCTTCTGGTATGAGAAAATCCAGCTTATGTTCAAAGTGGATGCAGAGGTAACACAAAATTATAGGAATTCACTGCAAACACCCTGTTAGCAATTATGTTCCTAATGATAGATATTTACTTTATTTCTTTCATTATTTACTGCTATAACCTAATATATCTCAATAAAAATAGTACTTTTATTTCTGGGGTATAGATTCTCAGTATTGAGTTTTAGGGGTTGAAGTGTGTTAAGTTTTTAACTTTAATAGTTGTGGCCATGTTGATATAATATTGCCAGAGGGTATAATAGTATGATTACATTTCTTGTTAGCCGTGAAAGAAAGTACCTTTTCCCTTTTATTCTCACCAACAGTGTTTTAGTATTTTTGTCAGTGTGATAAAAATGAAGTACCTTTCAACTACTGTACTAGATCCCTCCCACCTGCCAGTTTTGTTGATTCTCTAGCAGGACTCACAGAGCTCAGCATATAGTTATATGCATTGCTGTGATTTATTACAGTGAAAGGATATAAAGCAAAATCAGCAGACAGAGAAGGAGCAGGAGGTGAAGTCAGCCTGAAACCAGGCACAAACTTCCAATTGTCTTCTACAAGTGGAGTCACACAGGGCACACTGATTTCTCCAGCAACAGATTGTGATGACACATGTAAAATGTTGTGTACCAGGAAGCTCATTAGAGATTCAGTACTTAACATTTTATTGTGGGATGGTCACATAAGCATCCTCTGCCTGGAATGTACCACAATTGCAGTGTTCCAGAAGGAAAACAGGTATTCAGGATAAAAATTTTGTTTGTGCAGTTTAGCTATAGTGACCCACTCTTATCAGTGTGTTGGAAAGCCTCCCCAAATCTTGAGTTCCCAAAGGTCAGCCTTGCAAGCAGACCATTGTAAGGATGGCAGTCTAAGGGGTGCTATGTAAAGTCTTTTCTTTTGCTCTTTTTAAAAAACATTTCATATGAATGGAATCATATAATATATGGTCTTTTGTGACTGACTGCTTATACTTTGCTTAGTGTTTTTAATGTTCGTTCATGTTGTAATATATGTTGCTTCTTCATTTTTTAATGGCTGAATAATATTTCATTGTATGAATATACATAACACATTTTGTTCATCCATTGACTGGTTGATGGACATTTGGATTGTTTCCCCTTTTTGAATATTATGAATAATGCTGTGTTAGCTATTTTCTTCACAGCCTCCCAAATGTTTATTGAGAGAATAAATACAGACTCACATTTGCATTCTCATAAGAAACCACGCTTGTCATTATTCTTTTCAATTGTATGTTATTCCTTTGACGTATCGGTAGATTATGTTTGCTAGCATTTTATTTATAATTTTTGTACCTATAATCATGTCAAATTGGTATGAGGTTTATCATGTTTTGATAATAAGGATATGTTAGCTTTATGAAATGATTTGGGGATTCTTACTGTTTTATTTACCCTGTGGCCTGCAGTGATTTAACACTAGAATCAACAGTTATTTGAAGTTTAGAATTTGTCTATCCAGATGCCATTTAAAATGAAATAACTTTTATCTCTTTTCCATTTTCTTCTAAACTAGTCTTTTTAAGCTTTTCATTTTTTCTTGTATTCTTTCCATTGCTTATGTGTCTAGTCATTTCTCCTTTGTCAATTTTATTAGTGTTCATGTTTCTCTCTCTCTCTCTCTTTTTTTTTTTTTTTTTTAACCTTAATCAGGCCTTTTGTAAAGATATCTGTTAGTTTTTGTAAAATTTTAGTTTGGGATTTATTTTTTTTATTGTTTATCAGTTGACTTGGAAATCTCCTTTTTTCAAGTTAGTATAAGGTTTCACAATTTTTGTCCTACTTCTCTTTTTTACTACATCATGTTTGGATTCTTTGAGTTACACATCCTGTTTGTATCTGAGTTTTTCAGTCTTTAATTCTGGGAAATTCTTAATCATTTCTAGACATATCTACTTATATCCCTCTCTAGGAATCTTATTGGATAGATATTGACATTTAATTATTTTAATCATGTCTCATAGCTTTTGAGAAGTGTTTATGTTTTCTACTTCCTTATTCCTTTTTTAATGCTTTGTAGGAGAATTGCTTGATCTGAACTTGTTGCTCACTAGTATGTTCTTGTCCTGTATTCAGTTTTCTAGTTAACCTGTCGAGTTTTTTATTTCAGCAGTTTAAAAAATCTATACATATCTTCAATTGGTGAATATTTATGCTTGTTTTAAATTTACGTTCTCTTTAGTCTTTTTTCTCATGGTATAAAGTTCAGTTTATTGTCTTTCTTTTGTTGTGCTCATACTCTCCAAGTGTCTAGTTGTATTTTTCATGGAAGTACCAAGTTATGAGCTAGTAGTATTTGCCTGGGAGGAGGGTGAAAGACTAGGCTCTAACTTGTGTCTTTGCGTGATTTCATGGAGCAAAGGTGGGGGTGTATGGGCTTGATTCGGGGTGATACAGTTTGAGAATTGGTGCCAAAAAGGAACTTCCTGTTGACTTGCCAACGAGGCATGATCTTCTCTAGAACCTGCTTTCCTTATTCTATGTATGCAGTGCGGTGAGGACAGAACACACAGAGTCCTTGCCAATCACCTGAACTTGTTACCGTTTCCCAAACTGCTTGTCTTCTGGTGCTTTCCTGATATAGTAATCTCCTGTATCATCCAGATGGCACTGGGGTGGTAGCAGAGCCGTTCTGTTTCATTGTATCCCACAGGGTAGGAATTCTCTGCCAGAGCGGTGTAAAGACTGGAAAAGGTCACTACTAGGTCTTTCCCAGTTGGTAGCATTTGGCCTGCTCCATCTCCTGGTTGCCATTTCCTTGACACTCTAGATGCCAATTGCTTTTAGTGCCCCAAGGTTTTTTATTCAATAGACTTATTTTTGCTTTTGCGTAATCTGTAGGGTTGAGATAGATGGAGGGAACGAGGTGTTTGAAATCTTGTGCTGGAGTGGAAGCCATAATATTTTTAAATTATCTGTTTGTGTCTGTGCCCCTCACCAAAGTAAGCCCCTTAAAGGTAGTGATTTTTATATATACTTTAGCATAGTTCATGGGGTAGACTTGGTGTCTAATAAAGTTTATTGAAAGAATATTGTTTCAAAAAAATTCTTTCTTTGAGAATATAAATGTACTACCAATACAGAACTTCCTTAATGTTGTAAAGGCATGACTAAATTTATTAAAAACTTAATTTATGTGCAAGGTTTCAGGATCATTTAGATTACTTTAGAAGTGGTTATAAACTGGAGAGTAAAATAAAAAGAAGAAAACAACTAACATAATGCATTCGTCCCTCAGTGGGTTGGTTCCAGGACCTACTGCAGATACCACAATCCATGGATGCTTAGGTCCTTCAGTGGGTCCTGGGGAACACATAGATACTAAAAGTTGGTCCTCCACAGCTGAGGTTCTGCATCCTGCAAACACTGAATTTTCGATCCATGGTTCTTGAATCCATAGATGCAGAACTCATGGACATACAGGGCTAATTGTATAGTGTTTTAAATTTTCAAAACATTTAACCTATGTTAAAGCAGGGCTGTTCTTGTTATCCCCATCTTAAAAGTGAAGAAACCATGAATCAGAGATGACAAGAATGTATGTAAGACTAAGCAGCCAATAAACAGGCCTGGAAACAAAGTTCTCCTGACTGATTCTTTTAAAGACTGATGCTTCTTTATTTTTCAGCGCTTCTCTATTTTAATGGGCATTTGATTAATGATACTGAACTGACCGGAGTCATTCTGTCTGTCATCTTTTTGTACTATGGAACTCAATCACTGTTATCCAGAGTTTTTGGTGGTGGTGGTGTTTGCTTTTAGAGACAGGGTCTTGGTGCCATGCAGGCTGGAGTGCAGTGGGACAATCTTAGCTCACTGCAGCCTCAAATTTCTGGGCTCAAGTAATCTACCCACCTCAGCTTCCTGAGTAACTGAGACTACAGGTGCGTACCACTGTGCCTGGCTCATTTTTAAAAAAAATTTATTGTAGAGACAAGGTCTCACTATGTTGCCCAGGCTAGTCTTGAGCTCCTGGTTTTAAGTGATCCTCCCCACTTGACCTCCAAAAGTGCTGGATTACACACGTAGGGCACCCTGCCCGGCCATCACCCAGAGTTTAAAGCCAGAGTACTTCAAAAGGGCTTGTGAGATCCCACACGATCTTTTCCCCATTTACTTTTCTCTTTGTTCATGTTTCTCCTGCCACACACGAGGCTTTATATTACTATTCCTCCATTATACCAGATATGCTGCAACCCTCAGTATCTTTGAGGCTTCTGTTCACTGTGCTTGGAATTCTTTCTCTCAGGTGGCTTCTTCATCTCCTTCTAATCTTTGTGCAAATGTAACCTCAGTGAGACCCTATCTAAAAAGCACAAACCATCCTACATCATATATACTTCCTATCCTCTTTTCTTAGACTGCTTTTGTTACTACTTAGCACATAACCCTCTAGTATACTCTACAATTTATTATTAACTAAGGTATTGTCTGCCTTTCGTCATTATAATGTTAGTTCCAGTGACTGGTTCAATACATGGCTAAAAAAATGTTGAGTGAAATAATTCATCAACAAAATTCAGTTGATTAAACAAAACTGTTAGTAAAACATGTATACTGCTGAGGTATTACTGGTTAGATTCCATACCAATGCAATAAAGCAAGTTGCAGGGATTTTTTTTGTTTCCTGGTGCGTATAAAAGTTTTGTTTACATTGTACTACAGTCTATTAAGTGTGCAAAATAGCATCATGTCTAAAAAGACAATGTGTATATCTTATTTTAAAACTGCTTTATTGTTAGAAAATGCTAATAAACATTTGAGCCTTGAGTGAGTTGTAACCTATTTGCTGGTAGAGGATCTCGCCTTGATGTTGATGGCTGCTGACTGAATCAGCGTGATGGTTACTGAAGACTGAGGTGGATGTGGGTATTTCTTAAAATAAGGCAACAATGAAGTTTGCCACATTGACTCTTCCTTTCACCAAAGATTCCTCTGTAGCATATGATGCTGTTTGATAGTATTTTCCCCATAGTAGATCTTCTTTCAAAATTGGGGTCAAACCCATGCCACTACAGTACTGTTCTAAATTTTTTTTTGTCATTTCAACAATGTGCACAGCAATTCAGTCACATCTTTACAATCCACTTATAATTCTATCTCTCTTGCTATTTACAGCCAGTTACTTTCTCCAATGAAGTCTTGAACCCCTCAGAGTTATCCATAAGCGTTGGTATCGTTAACCAAATATCCTATTAATGTTGGTATTTTGCCCTTCTCTTGTGAATCATGATTGTTATTTATGGCATCTAGTATGGTGAATCCTTTTCAGAAGGTTTTCAGGTTACTTTGCCCAGATCCATCAGAGGAATCTCTTTCTGTGGCAGCTATGGCCTTATGAAATGTCTTTCTTAAATAGTGGGACTTAACAGTCAAAATTACTCATTGATCAATGAGCTGCAGAATGGTTATTGCAGGCATGAAAGCAACATTAATCTCTGTACATCATCATTGGAGTTCTTGGCTAACCAGGCACATTGTCAATAAGCAGCAATATTTTGAAAGGAATATTTTTCTGAGCACTAGGTCTTCAACTGTGGGCTTAAAATATTCAGTAAACCGTGTTGTAAACAGATGTGCTGTCATCCAGGCTTTGTTATTCCATTTGTAGAGTACAGTCAGTCGAGACTTATGATGATTTTTAAGGCCCTAGAATTTTCAGAATGGTAAATGAGCATTGGCTTCCACTCGAAATCACCAACTGCATTAGATCCTAATAAGAGAATCAGCCTGTCCTTTGAAGCTTTGAAGCCAGGCATTGACTTCTTTCTGACTGTGCATGTCCTAGATGGCATCTTCTTCCATCTGTCAATATCACTGTCAGTCTTCAACTGTTTCTTCATCAACTGTTTGACAGTTGATGACTGTTTCTTCAACACTGAAAATGTGTTAATTAGTGTAGCCACTTTCATAGTTATCTTAGCTAGATCTCTGGATAATTTGCTGTACCTTCTCAACATCAGTATTTGCTGACTCACCTTGCATTTTTGTAGTAAGTAATTATGGTCTCACCTATACAGCACTATTAAGATGGAGATGGCATCTTTCCTTAAACCTACTGAACCAACTACTAGCTTCCTACTTTTCTTCTTTAGCTTCCTCACCCTCTTTTTCTCAGCTTTCATAGAATTAAAGAGAGTTAGGGCCTTGCTCTGGATTGGGCTTTAGCTTAAAGCAATGTTGTGATTGGCTGGATCTTCTAACCAGACCACTCAAATTATCAGCTGTTTCACTTTCTTATCATTCAGGTGTTCACTTGAGTAGAGCTTTTAATTTCCTTCAAGCTTTTCCCTTGCATTCACAACTTGGGTTGCTTACTGTTTGGTGTAGGAAGCCTACCTTTCCACCTGTCTCAGCTTTCAACATGCCTTCCCCACCAAGACTAGACATTTCCAGCTTTTGACTGAAAATGAGAGACATGCAACTTCTTTCACTTGAACACCTAGGGGCCATTGTAGGGTTATGAATTGACCTCATTTCAGTACTGCTACATCTCAGGGAATAGGAGGGCCTGAGAAGAGGATAGTGGAAACAGATGGTTAGTGGAGTAGTCAGACACATTCATGGATTATGCTTGCCATCCTTTTTTTTTGAGTGGTTCATAGTACCTGAAAACAATTGCAATAGTAACATCAGAGATAACTTATCACAGATCAGCATAACAGATATAGTAATATTGAAAAAGAATTACTGAAGTGTGACATAGACACCAAGTGAGCACATGCTGTTGGAAAAATGGTGCTGGTAGATTGGCTTGATATGGGGTTGGAATAAACCTTCAATTTGTTAAAAAGGCAGTATAAAGTAAAATACTACAAAACAAGGTATTCTTGTATTTGTTTTTAATGTATAAGTCCTTTTAATCAGGTGTATGCATTTGTTGATACCATGGAAATTTAATTTACCAAGATTTATTTATGAATTAACGGTTTATTTTGAGTAATTTTACATCTGTTTGCATAAAATCTGTCTTTTTTGGAAAAATGTGATTCTGTGTAAGAAGGATAACAATATATTAATAAATAGAGCAATTTAGTGTTGACAAATATAGGATACTAGCTGAAATATAATTCTAGATTTTTGAAGAATATTTTCCTTATGAAACCATGTTTTGAACATTGAGCTTCAAGTAGGTAGGGATTAATGTCACATACATATTTTAAAAAGGTAAATGATTAAATATTTTAAAATATATATTAAAATGCTATCATTCTAATACTTTTCATGATGAGTTTTAATCTATATTCAATATTTGTGATCAAATAGTAAAGTAAAAATTTTCTTATTTGCATTTGCTTTTATTTAAACTTTTTTTTTCTTTTTTGTAGATTTGCCTTCAGGTCACATTGATATGAGATATGGAGTCACCTTTCATAACTTCACCTGGGAAAGAGAGAGAAAACTTTCTTGTTAAAAAAATATAAGGAAAACAAACAACCAAATGAATCATGCCAAATGCCAACTCTACATCTTTTTGTGTCATTAACATATATATTTTAATGCATCAAGACAAATGGCTTATACATTAAAGGAGATGATTTGTTCATCAGTATTTTTAGCCATTAAAAAAAATTTGTTTTCATGTTGAACTTATACAGCTCTCATTAAATTTAACACATATAAACATCTTTAAGGCCTTGTTTAAAATAGCTTTCTTTTTTAGTGCTTAGAACTTCAATGTTTATGTGCCCTACTGTTACTTGTCAAAGTCTTCAAGAGTTTATAACATCAGGAAAGATATGGACTTGGAAACTTACATTATTAAAATAGACCGCAGTGGATTTAAGAGGACAATTCAAGACATCCATTTTATTATCTAAAATATTACATAAAAGTATACAGTTTTTAGGCTAAATGCAAACAAAGTTGCTTGAAGATGGCATGGGTAAAATTCTTACGGAAACCTGGTGGCAACCTTGGAAAAGTTTATCAGCCTGGAAGCATGCTATCGCTAGCCCCTACCAAAGGCTTGTTAAATGAACCAGGACAAAACAGCTGCTTTCTTAATAGTGCTGTACAGGTGAGACCATAATTACTTCATTAAAAAAAAATACTTCTCAGAAAATCCTTTGTTTAATGCTTCTTTAGCTCATAAATTAAAAATAAAATTATAAACTAGAATGACTTTTTAATATAACTTTTAATGGGAACAAAAATGTTTTAGCTGGTCATTTTGATTTTTATAATAAATGGAAATGGCTTTTTCAACAGATTGATGTATCACTATGATATAAATAATCTTATTTAAAATGTTTAGTAAGTTAATATTTTTCTAACATACATAAACATTTTTGTTTTAATCAGCTAATACCCCTCCCTTTAAAAAAATTCAGTATAGGATATCTGTAGATAGAATAAAAAGACATAAGCTGCTTGGATTGAAATGAGAATGCAGCGGTTTTTTATCTCAGTACTCAAACTTCCTTCACCTCCCACTGTGGTCCTTAAATTATCTCTGCAGAATCAGCATTCGGGCTGCACTGTTTTGGGTAAATTGAAGGATAATCCATTTTACTTCAATTCTTGTTGAAAATCTTTTAATTAACCTGCTTTTCTGCCTTAGATAACTATATACTTTCTTGTGCATAATATAGTTTTTATTCAGCAGTCATAGATTTTATAGACCCTGTGTCCTTCTGACCACTGTAGAGTACTAAAGATGAGGAAGATTTAGAATATTGATAATTTTTTCTATTGACCTTAGAATATACCATGAAAGAATTCATATATAATGATTCACTTTTTGTATGTATTGTTTTTTCTTTTGAAAAATAATAGAGAAAAATACTGGTTGATTAGGTCATCTGACAGATAAATGTAGAATGCATCAAGTGCACAGACATCTGACTCAGAGCTATGTTCTCAGTTACCCTTTACCCGAAACAGATGCCAAACTTGAACATTCTCTAACTCATCCAGGGAAAGAGAAGCAGTTGGTATTAAAACATTAATTCTAATTTACTTTAGGACACTTAAATAGTAGTGTTCTGCCCTGGCTCAAAGATCCCAGTGACATTACTGTCACAAATGCAGAAAAATATTTATTCAATGGCACTGGATATAATGAAGTATTAGATACCAAAAGACCTGGAATTAAATGCTTTTGATTAAATCAGGCTGTGAGAAAGGGTTTCTGGCATTTCAGATATTTTTCTGTTTACCCCTTTTTCTTTTTCACTTTTATGTTTTCCCCTCTGTTTCTGTCCTTTTCATTGGCACCCAAAATACTATAGTTCAGGGAAACAAAACACAGAACAGGTGAAAATTTTGAGTAAGGAAACTTAAATGGGTTAGAACATGGAGAAGTACTCCTATGGCGATGTTTTTTTTTCTTTAAATGAGCATTCCACTGACCTTTACCATGAAGACTGTTTACTTACCTGCCTAGTTGCCATTTCTGATGCTCATCACTTTTTTGCATAGATCGCATTCCATCTGATACTCTTTTCTTTGGCTTGAAGGATTTTTCTTGTAATACACGTTTATTGGTGATGAATTCTTTCACCTTTTGTATGCCTGAAAAAGATCTGCATTCCACTTTTGTTTTTGAAAGGTATTTTTATCTTGTTAAAGGGGTCTAAGTTTACATTTTTTTTCAGTACTTTAAAGATTTTGCTTCTCTACATTTTAGCTTGCATTATTCTAATGAAAAACCTAGTATTCTGATCTTTGTTTCTCTGTATGTAATTTGTTCTTTTTCTCTGGCTGCTTTTAAGATTTTCTCCTTATCATTGGCTTAAAGCAATTAAATGATGTTTCCTGGTATAGGTTTCTCCACGTTTCTTTGTGTTTGGGTTTGTTGAGCATCTTAGATCTGTGGGTTTTGGATTTAAATCAAATTTAGAAATACTTTGTTGTGTCTTCAAATAATTTTTCTGTCTCTTCCCTCCTTTGGGGTTTTCCAGTTACATATGTAGTGGGTTGCCTGAAGTTGTCCAGTTGTTCCAGACCTCACTGATACTCTCTTTATTTTCTTTCTCGGTCTTTTTTTCTCTTTGTGTTTTATTTTGTGTGGTTTCTATTAATACACCTTCAAGTTCATTTATCTTTTCCTTCGCATTACCTATCTGCTATTAATCGCATCCAGTGTACTTTTTGTCTTAGACATTGTAGTTTTCACTTTGAGAAGTCTGATTTTGGTCTTCTTACAATCTCTTTCATGTTTTTGGATGTCAGACAAGTTTTACCTTGTCAGATTATGGATATTTTTATATTCCTAAAAAAAATCTTGAACTTTGTTCTAGGACAGAGTTTATTTGTTAGCAATTTGATCAGTTTACTTTTAAACTTTGTTAGGCGGGACAGAGCTGTGTTTATTCTTGGGTTAATTTTTCTGCTCTTGAGACTCTCTTTCTTCAACCATTGTTTTGTGAATTATGAAGTTTTCTACTTTGGTTCAGGAATAGGCACTATCTTGGGCCTGTGTGAGCTCTGTGCACTATTCTCTCTAATCCTTTTGGGCGTTTCTTTCCCATGCCTCAGACAGTTTCCTCATAGTAAACATCCAAATACTGGAGTGGGGTTCTCCACTGATGTAACTCTCTCTGCAGTACTCTGCCCTGCCAACTCTAGCAACTTTGGGGGATCTGCTGGCCTCTGATGTCTGCCATATAAACTAATTCACAAAGCCATTTCTCCCTGACAAGACAACTATTCAAATGGATTTTCTATGAGATAAGACCTGACTTTCTTTTTAAAAATTCAGAATACACATGTTGATATGCAATTTGATGAATACTTTTTTAAAACTGCTGAGAAATAAATTATAGAATATCTCTTGTAAGAAGTTATTGAACGCAGTGTTTGCATCTAAGAAAAATGAATTTATATGCCATTGCTTATTAATATTTAAGCTATTTCTTACATTATTTTCAAGTAAAGAATGTATGATAAAAGGTTTGTATTTCTTTATATAATGTGTGTCTAGATATGTACTGATTTTTTAGGAATAATCATATAAGAAATATGTATAAATATTCAAAAATAACGACATCAATTTTGTTAGGCACTGTTTTAATTGCTACATGCAAATAATGAAAAAGTGTATATTGCTAAAAACTAATTAGTTCAGCAACTAGCTTTAACCTTAAGTTTTAAAAAATAAGTGCTAGAATATAATCAACATTTTAAAATGAAATGGGACTGGGAATGGTGGCTTATACCTGCAATCCTAGCATTTTGGGAGGCCAAGGCAGGTGGATCACTTGAGGTCAGGAGTTTCAGACCAGCCTGGCCAATATGGTAAAATCCCATCTCTACCAAAAATACAAAAGTTAGCTGGTCATGGTGGCACGTGCCTGTAGTTCTAGCTACAGGAGGCTGAGATAGGAGAATCGCTTTGAACCCAGGAGGTGGAGGTTGCAGTGAGCCAAGATAGCACCACTGTGCTCCAGCCTGGGCAACAGAGTGAGACTCCATCTAAAAAACAAATAAAATAAAATGGATGAGGATTAACTATAATTAGGATAATTATTTAGTGATAGGAATTTGTTAAAGTAGCCTCTATACTATTATGTTAAAGACAGTAATGTACAGGGAACTTTGAAGAAATAATATAAAACATTTTGTTTGTTATTTGAGCCAGTGTAACTGAGAATTTTTGTAATCACAGAAAATATTTTGGTTACATTTGTAAGACTTCATTAACTTTATAAACAGATTATAGAGGGTATTCTATTTTAGCTGAATATTTTAAACTTTTATCTAATGCAAAAGCAGTACAATTAGGTATAATATAACATATTAGTGTGGTTTTAACGTTAGAGGAACAAAGTTATAACATTTAATATTGTAATACTATTTAATAGTTCACATTTATTGTGTTCTTACTGCTTGTTGGAACATTACCTATGTTACCTAATTTAATCCTTACAACAGCCCCAAGAGGTGAGTAATACATTTATCTTTACTTTGCTGATGAGAAAAATGAGTCCCAGAAAATATTTTGCCGAAGTCAGTTCAGGAGTTGGTACATGGGAAACCCAGATTTAGAAATCAGACACCTGCCTTCAGAGGTTATTTTATTAACCTCAGTGGTATACTGTTTCTAAAGTTGTGCTGTCATTAATCATCTTCATTGTTGGTCAAACAGATTTCAGTGTATTTTAAAAAATATGTTAGGACATGATACTAAAGAAAGTTATTAAACATCATCAAGTGCTTTGCAAAAACTGAGTTATCTGTTGACAGAAAACTTGATACTATTGTGCTTTAAGAAAAGGTAACTTTCAAAGAGAAATTCTGAAATGACCTTTAGTTATGGAGCAGTTGAAAATATAGGAAACATTAAAACCAGTTTGTTTTTATTAGCTTTTTGTTGTTATTTGGGAGGAAGGAGAGATCATGAATAGATTTTCTTAGTTCGTTGTTTGAGGACACAACTAAAAGATAGGGAAATCTGAAGATCTTATTTGTTTGTTGTAATAGTAACAGCCACAATAGCAGCTGGTACTCATTGCATGACAGTTGAGTACCATACCGTGCTCTAAAAACATTACATATTATTACATATTATTTAATCCTGACAGAAACTCTGTGAGATAGAAGTACTATTCTTATTCTCATTGTGTAGAATTCAGGTTTTTCAGAATGATTTTAAGCATGGGACTGATTTGTTTTTACAGTGGCAGTCTTTTTGGGTTTGCTTTGTCTTTGTCTTTTAGTAGCAGAAGATAAGTGGATAATTGCAGCAAGTACATATTTAGGTAATTTATTAATGGCTGCTTCTTACCATGCTGTAACCTCATTACTATATAGGTACCCACTTTCTTGTTCAGTGTACAGTGACGCCACATACCTCTGCTTACCCCTTTTTCTTGCCATAATGTGCAGACCCTAATTTAATACACTCTGGCTTTAAAGTCTAATTATATTTCCTTTCAAAATTTCAGTTTGTTCCAAGTATTATAATCACTTCCTCTTTCATGTCTCTGCCAGCTTCTCCATTTAGTTTTCCAGGTTTCCTGTTCAGAACAAATCCTCAATGAGGAGTTAGTTTTTCCCTGCTCCATGCCTGTCATGGTTTTTCATGTGCACCAGTAAGAATATCTTCTGAATCCAACATTTATGTATATACAACATGCATGTAGCAATTTTATACTTGTTGTTATTGCCAGTGGTTATGTATGTCTGATCATGTACAGGAAATTAAAAGAAGCTACTTATTAGCCTTTTGCCATTTTTAAAATATCTAAATCTGTCTTTTGTTACAGTAAGAAAAATCTCAGTGTGTTTTTTTCCTTCACATCTTGTTCTTTTTTAGGTTTTATGGCAATTGGATATATTCCGACGAAGCTTGCGGGTTTTGACTGGACATGTTTGTCAGGGAGATGCCTGTATATTTTGTGCATTGAAGGTAACCTTTTAATAGCTCTGAAAAATTACTATCAATTGTTCCCTCAAAAATTTAAGTTTGATAGTTGATATACTTGGTAAATTTAAGTTTGATAGTTGATGTATTTGGTCAATTTGTTGTAACTAAAGTTCACTGTCAGGTGGTTAACAGTTTTGAAGATGAATTCTTAAAGAATAAATTATTCAGGTTTGTGTTTTTATTTTCATCTTTTATATAAGGACAGTTAAAAATTAATATTCTAAATATTACAAATTATTAGGAACATTATCTTTTTCATTATTTTGAAATTATTCTTAATCATTTTAACAAATGCTTTTTGAGCTACTACTGAGTTCTGGGTACCAGTGTAGTTACTGAGGATACAGCAGTGAACAAAACGGCTAAAAATTTCCTGTTTTCATGGAGCTTGTATTCTTACAGAGGAGGAGACAATAATAAGAAAGCCAAATATTATAGAGTATGTTAGATGGTAATAATTTATAACAGTGGAAAAATACATCAGGTAAACAAAAAAGGGAGTATTGTGTAGTCAGGAAAACCTCACTGAGAAACTGATATTTGAATTGAGACTTTGAAGAGCCTTCCAGGCAGACAAAGAAACAGCGACTGCAAAGGCCTTGAGGTGTGAGTATACTTAAGGACACCAAGGAAGTCTGGGTGGTAGGAGCTTTGTGAGCAAGGAAGGGACTGGTAGAAGATGAGCTCTGAGGTGAGGGTAGCTGAGGTGGCTTTAAAACATGTCTGCAGATTCTTTTGCATGCTTCCTTATCCAAAATCAAATTCCTTGAATGGCTGATTTCTGTCAAAAAATCAGCCTTATGACTGATTTCTGTCAAAAACTTAGACTTTGGCAGAACGAGGCTGCAAGCAAGATATCTGAGGTTAGGTTAGCTTAGAAAAGGCGATAGAGCTCTCACCCAGCTCTGTCTCTTGAGTTGCTCATTCTTGGAAGTGAGCCACCATGAAGAGGAAACCAGGTAGCCATGCAAAAAGACTCCATGAAGGCATTCTGGACACAGCTAGAGCTGAGTTCCCAGCCCACAGCCAGCATCAATCGCCAGACATGAAAGAGTGCCCTTCAAATATTCCAGATCCCAGCATTCAAACTGTCCAAAATGATTTCAGGTGGAGCAGAGACGTGCTGTTCCTACCCAAATTGCAGATTTGTGATCAAAATAAAAGTATTTTTTTAGTAACTACATTTTGGGGTGGTTTAGTTACAGGACAGTAAATAACTAGATCAGGGGTTTAGATTGTGTAGGGCCTTATAGGCCTCTGTAAGGATTGTGGCTTTGTCTTTGAGTGATTTAGGGAGATTGGGGATTGTTTTGAGTGGAAGAGTGATACAGTCTCTTTTAACTAGCTATAATGTTTGAACTAGATCCCTGTGGCTGCTCTGCTGAGGAAAATAGAAGGAAGACAAAGAAACAGAGCATCCGGTATATATTAGCAACTCATTTGTGTCACTGAAGACTTTTACCAGATCATTTAAGATTTTGTTACACATTTTAGAGATAAATGTTTCATTTTTTGAATATTCTTGAATATTCATAACACACACACATAGATACAGAAATTTTTTTTTTTAAAGTGTATGTTCCTTAATTTCATTATGTTCCTGAAAAGGCTGTTTGAGTAAATCACTAAAGAAGGAAATTTTATATTTTCTTTTTTTAAGAACACGGCAAAATAGGGTTATATTTAGGAAATGAAGAATGAACCTAGATTAAATTACTGTGTCACATTTTATTTATTCCACAGTAAATTTTGAAAGTTTTGTTTAATTGTGAAACTTATGATAATAAATTTCCTAGTCCTACTCTCTTATAGCCCTGCACTCTTCCCTGAGCTTGCCTTACTCTCTTCCCCTGTCAAAAACACATATAAATACATTGCATTTTAGCCAAACTGGGCTCTATTTCTCAGAGCTGGTCTCCATATCAAAGTCTTCTCACTGTTACTCCTTTTGTCTGGAATGCTTTTCTTCCAGATGTCCTCATGGCTAACACCCTTATTTCCTTTATGCCTCTCCTCATTCCTTTTTCCATCAGTGAGGCCTTCCCCAACTACTCTAGGTAAAAGGTAAGCTGCCTCCTTCTGTAATATCCCTGGCATTTCTATCCCTATTACACTGCTCTATTTTTCTCTACTGTACTTATCACATTCTGATATTATATAATTACTTCTTTGCCTTCTCATTACTGTAACTAGAATATAATCTCCATGTGGGCAGGGTTGTCATCCATTTCCTAGTGTAGAACAATGCCTAACATATACTAGGGGGGGCAATAAATACATGTTGAATGAATGAGCGACAGTCTCACATAGGATTAAAAATCTTCAACATTACCTGGAAGTGAATTGTCTAAATAAGAGATAAAATCTGAAAGTTGTTTTTCATCTTTTACTATTCATAATTTTAGCTGTTATAATAGCTCAAATATAGTTGTGGGTATCTAATATCAATTGACATCTGTATTTTTTAAAAATTTCTTATTTATAAATTGTATTTTCTGCAGTAGTGAAACAGATTCGTGAAATGTTTTCCTTGTATGTTGATCTTAAAAATATTTTTTTTGAGATGACATGACCCCTTGAGTTAACATAGGACTGAATGTGACCAATACTTCTTTGGTGGGGTGTCATTGAATACTTTTTTCCCTGCTTTCTTCCATGTAAGATGATAGTCATAAAATTGGTATTTATTAAAATGTTTTTTCTTGCTTAAGCTTAATAAGGAAAATTGAAAAATCTAACAACTATAATCCCATGTTTCCAGTTTCTTAGGTTTAGATTAGATACTGAATGATGTTTCCAGTTTCTTCAGATTAGATTAGAAGTACAGGTTGGGTATTCCTTGTCTGAAATGCTCAGGACCAGCAGTGTTCTAGATTTTAGATTTTTTTTTTTTATTTTGGAATAATTGCATTTATATATTTACTGATTGAGCATCCCAAATTTAAAAGCATTTTCTTTAAGCATGATGTCAGTGCTAAAAAAGTTTCAGATTTTGAAGCATTTTGGATTTCAGATTTTTGATTTGGGGATATTCAACCTGTAATTCTCTAAGTTAAGAAAACTGATAACTTGGGGGTGGTAGGACCTTTTCTTAAAAGTTGTCCGGGTGCGGTGGCTCACACCTGTAATCCCAGCACTTTGGGAGGCCAAGGCGGGTGGATCACGAGGTCAAGAGATTGAGACCATCCTGGTCAACATGGTGAAACCCCGTCTCTACTAAAAATACAAAAAAATTAGCTGGGCACGGTGGCGCGTGCCTGTAATCCCAGCTACTCAGGAGGCTGAGGCAGGAGAATTGCCTGAACCCAGGAGGCGGAGGTTGCGGTGAGCCGAGATCACGCCATTGCACTCCAGCCTGGGTGAGGAGAGCGAAACTCCATCTCAAAAAAAAAAAAAAAAAGTTAAAAGTCATTATTATTTTTTTTTCTGAATCTCCTTGTAAACTGTACATTTGCATTTTTCAAAAGTAAGTTTAGTTAAATAATAGTGGGAAGTTGTCATTCTGTTAAATTGTCTAATTTTTAAATCAAAATTTGTCATTTTCTGAGGTATTCTTAAGACCCTAGTAGAAAATTTTTTATAAATTATTAGGTTCCTTTAGGTTACTTTTTTTTTTTAAGACTAGTACATCCTAATTTTTTTTTGTGATTATATGTTTATTTTTTCAGCATAATTCTAATTCCTATTGTATATTTTTAGATTTAAAGCAACTTAAATCTCAAAACTCTGTTCCTTAAACAACCAGTAGTAGCATCATCTGGGGATTAATTTAAAAATGAGCCTCACCTAAGACTTAGTCAGCATCTCTGAGAGTGGGACCTGGGAACCCTATCTGTTGAATTTTTGTGTCCCCTAACATTTAATTTAGAGGCTGGTGTAAACATTTCCACACTTGATTATACAAATAATTAATTTTTTATGAAATTTTAGAGCAAAAGACTTCTGTATTATTTTCTAAGTATATATAGTGTTTTGAGTTTCCCTGTGTCATAATGAAATTACTGAAATGTTTTTAAAGCTGGCATTAAACTTACTGATTTTCTTGTTGATTCCCAGACAATATTTGCACAGTTCCAACACAGTCGAGAAAAAGCACTTCCCTCAGATAACATAAGGCATGCTCTTGCAGAAAGCTTCAAAGATGAGCAGCGATTTCAACTTGGCCTTATGGATGACGCTGCAGAATGCTTTGTAAGTATTTCTGATATTCCTTAAGAAGTCAGGATAGTCGTTTTCATTCCTTAAGGTAGTACAAATGTCGAGACAAATGAAACAAAAATTCAGAACAGTAGAAGACTGTCAGAACTGGCCAGTAGATCCGTATCTTACCCATCCTTCAAGGCTCAACTTCAATCCATCAGTGTTTTGTGTTGTACTTTTGGTTTTGATGATTTAAGTTGCTCTAATTTTTATTCTTAGGCTACTAAAATATTTTAAAACTTAATTGGAGCAATAAGCTTTGCTGAATATAAATGATATCAGTTAAATCAGTGTTCTGCTGCTACAGGGTTCACATATGCGGCACATTCCTAGCAGGAATATTTTTCATTACGTGCAATGATTATCATTCAGAGAGAAGGGGGTTTTGGTGGGAAGTTAACAGGGGCAACAGTTCTGTTACCCACATTCCAGGTTGAGAATCACTGAGGGTGATGTTCTGAGGCTCTTTTACCACCATAGTAATAAGTAGAGCCTTCCTTTGATCAGGTACATACTTTATACATGTAAAATAGGTATGTTAATTATTAAATGTCTCATTAGTATTGATGTCACCTATAATTAAGTTGTAGCCATTTCTTCTCTCTTGTTCTTATTTCTAGTCAGCAAATTCTGTAAAGTCTTTCATCATAACCCCTTTTGAAAGTTTTTTCTTTCCATATTAATTCCCTACCACAACTTCGTCCAGTTCAGCATATTTAAGCCTGCTACTGGTGTGCATTCAGCCTGTTTATTTGTGGCCTATTTTTTTAATAGCCACCACATTAATATAATTTTCTTCAGGTTAATGCTTACTCTTCAAATATTTCCGTGATTCAAATGTAGACTTTTTACTCTAATATTTAAGGCCCTTTATGATTAAACTTCACCCTCCCTCGGTGCTTCATCTCTGGATTTTTCTTCCTAGTGAGATTATTCCATCCAGTACATCATGTTTATTTTTATATTCCTGTTTATATTTCTTATATGTAAGGCTGTTCTATTAGCAGCTTTTGCTCAAGTTCCTGAAATACTCAAAACTTTAAGAATCTATCATTTTTGTCAAGGTTCAAACTAAGTCTACCAGATAACATATGACCAAACCACCCAACCCATTCCCTCTAGAATTTACTATCTGTAGAATTCATTTGGCATTTGTATATTATTAATCACCTTTTTTAAAAGAAGCATCCTCATGATTTCCTTAGATGAAAAGCTCATTGACTAGCACCTTGCCTAGCACACTTGCATATTGATTAAAATGTCAATAATGCCACACACAGTAATGAAATATAATTTCCATATTTCTTCTGTTTATAATTGAATTTTTAGCTTAAATATTTATTTTGAACAATGCTAAACTGTAGTTTTACTTTCACTTAAATGAATTGTTCTAATACAAGATGTGATAATTCACAAAGTGTCTAGAAATCTAGGCTTAAATTATTAAATGGTTTTAAATATCCTGGCTCAGGAGAGGGAAGTTAGCTAATTAATAGAATTCATTGGTTAAGCTTTGGTAAAAAGAATTATGTTAAAGAAATAACTACGCCTTATTGATCTATATTGTAAATCAACTTATATGAAATTTATTGCAGAGTACATTGCTTCCATTATGGTGTTAGTATAGATATAGAGCCTTTATTTTACTGTTATTTATACAGACTACTTAGATGATTCAAGTAGGATTTTTTTAAAGCTGATTTTTCTTAATTTGAGAATATTGGGAACACAGGAAACTGTTTTCTAACATTAAATTCTAGATGTCAGTCATCATGGGTTGATTTTTAGGATTGAAAATAAATTTATTAAAGATCATGTTACATTACAATGTTTCTTTCATAAAACAACATTTTCTTTTAAGCTAGTGCTATAAAAGGTGAATAATTGAACATTCAAAGTATTGATTAGAGAGGAAAGCTGAAAAGCTAGCAATATGTATGACACTTTAAATTTACACTTTGGAAAATATTCAGGTAAAGAGTTATATTTTGATATGTTCCCTGCAAGATCAACAACTCATTTATCTATTTTATTTTTAAATTAGGAAAATATACTGGAGAGGATTCATTTTCACATAGTGCCAAGCAGAGATGCAGATATGTGTACCTCTAAATCTTGTATCACCCACCAGAAGTTTGCTATGACTCTGTATGAACAGGTGAGGTGGCTTAGTTATTTTTTAGACATTATAGTTCTGTTTTATGACTGATAGATTAAACATATGTTTTTACCTATATAGTGTGTGTGTCGTAGCTGTGGAGCATCATCAGATCCTCTACCTTTTACGGAATTTGTGCGCTACATTTCTACAACAGCCTTATGGTAAGAACCAATTAAAGCATACTTATCAAAGATTTAATAACATATTTAAGTATATCGAGCACTTATTTTATAAAACTGTAGCATATATGAATTTCCCCTCTCTGTCTAAGGCTACCAAATATGCTGCTGTGAGATGTATAAAGTGATGTCTATCTCAGCTGGATGTTTGTAATTTAGCCCAATATATGTGTTACTTAGTGAAGTGTACATAATGCTAGTTAAAATTTGTATCTATTTATATTTATAACAAATTGTAGAACTGTGAAAGGAAGCATAAAATGATAAATTGAATGTTAAAGGGAACTATACCTGGTTTCTTCATTTATGAGATGTTCTGGTTGTAATGGCCATATTTTCTGTCAGCTCTACTATGTCCCTTTCTGGTGACAAAAGCTAGGGTAAGAGAGAAGAAAGAAACATGAAAACTTAATTCTCAGTTAGATTATTGTATTTGAGGCCTCAACATTCACCTTCAATAAAAATTTGCTCGCCTTCTCACCTATGCATTCACTCTCTCCCTTTTTGTCCATAAAAGATTAGCCAGTTAAGGATCTAAAAGTTATCTCTAGACCTTACATAATGATCTTTGAATACTTTCCAACAGGTATTTGAAAGTATAAATATTTGGCATGTGGTAAACATTGAGTGCGATCATAAACATTTGCATAAATTTTAATACAAAAGACATAATATGGATCAATAATTACCAATCAGAATATATTAGTGCAACAGTTAGTTGATAAATGCTGCCAATATTTATGTCAGTGTGCAAAGTGAATGTTGTGTTCATCCATTTCATATTCATCTTCCTGGCTTTATTGGGTATAAAACATTTCATAATTATTATTGAATAATAATTTGGTTATTTGGGTGTGTTTACTATTTTACATTTACAGACAAGTAAAAAACATTGATTTAGAGAAACATTCCTAAATTTCAGTCAAATTGCAGTCATTTTAAAAAATTTCTATGAAATGCAGGATGGTGTTTGAACAAAGATAGACAATAAGTTAAAAACTAAATTTTTAATTCTACTTTAAAACTCTTGAATGAAATGACAGTGTTCTGAGGCAGAATGTTAGATGATAAGAATTAGAGTCCCATTATTCTCTGCTTGGTAAACATTGCAAGTTGTAGGTGTGTACACTGAATTCTAATTATAATATCCTTATTTGTATTGGTAATAAGTGTTGAATACCAGTTATTAAATGCTTATCGTGTTCCAGGCTTTATGTAAATTGTCACTTTTAATCTTAACCAAAATTATATTTTGTTGATGAAGGAATAGGTTTAACAGATTAATTTAGTAAGTGGATGAATTAAGATTGAAACCCAGATCTGTCTGACTTCAAAATTTGTTTGGCTAACCACTACTCTAATGCTGTCAGTTTTATAAAACCAGTATATGCAATTTGAATGAGCTTATCAGATTTAGGGCTTTCTAGTGTACTCATGAAGTGTTTTGGAGTGGTACATTTAGTTGCTACCAAATACTTGTAGATTATTTAAACTATCGAACTGTAAAATATATCCAGCTCTAGAATAGTTACATTACTGTTAAGTACAACCAAAACATCTAGAATGGAAACTAGTAAGTGTTTCAACTTACATTACATTCCTTTTTGGAAATGTTTAAATGGTTGTTTAAGTGTTAGTCTGTTCTCATGCTGCTAATAAAGACATACTCAAGACTGGGCAATTTATAAAGCAAAGAGGTTTAATTGATTCACAGTTCCATATGGATCATGGCAGAAGGTAAGGAGGAACAAAGTCACATCTTACGTGGTGGCAGGCAAGAGAATATGAGAGCCAAGTGAAAGTGTTTTCCCCTTATGAAACCATCAGATCTTGTGAGACTTATTCACTACCACCACAGCAGTACGAGGGAACAGCCCTCATAATTCAATTGCCTCTCACTAGGCCCCTCCCACAACACGAGAGAATTATGGGAACTACAATTCAAGATGAGATTTGGGGAGGGACACAGCCAAACCATATTAGTTACTTAATGCCCTATATGTAAAATATGTCTTTTAAGGAAGTTGAATAAAAAAGTATCACAGTTACCCTGTAGTGTATTAAAAGGCCTGCCTGGGCTCTAATAAAATGATTAGAACTCCTGAGGTCAGGAGTTCAAGACCAGCCTGGGCAACATTGTGAAACTCCATCTCTACTAAAAATACAAAAGTTGGCCAGGTGTGGTGGCATGTGCCTGTAATCCTAGCTCCTCCGGAGGCTGAGGCATGAGAATCACTTGAACCAAGAGGTGGAGGTTGCAGTGAGCCGAGATTGTGCCATTGCACTCCAGCCTGGGCGACAGAGCAAGACTCCATCTCAAAAAAAGTAGTAGTATTCATAATAAAAACAAAAGGTGTAAGTCTGGCTTTAAAACTTGGCTTGTGACTTCTGCATTTAATCAGCAAAGGACCTTCTCCTAGCTGAAATTGGTAATTTTGCTTCTAGGAACTTTGGGCCAGAGAGGGAGCCTTTCTTACAGTTTTGTTCTTGTTAGGGTAAGGTTTAAACTTCAGTTTCTACTTAATAATTAATAATACAAAAGAAACATTTGCTTTAGAATGGCCTTCAGACAGAGCATCTTAGCCTCATTCATCTAGTTCCAAACAAAAGTATAATTTTGTCACTTTGTTGTCTTTATTTGAGCTAAGTGTTTTCATCATATACTGGCCAAATTTAATAATTTTTTACTTTATGGAAATGTATTTTATGGTTAATTTTAAAGTCATGGTCATGTTTTAGACAGAAAAAATGATGCACGTCTAAACTGACAGTATTTTTCATGTGTAATTTATTAAAGATTTAAGTTCATAGGCCAGATTTGGGATTGTTTCTTTTTTTGTAGCAATGAAGTTGAAAGAATGTTGGAAAGACATGAACGCTTTAAACCTGAAATGTTTGCAGAATTGCTACAAGCAGCAAATACAACAGATGACTATAGGAAATGTCCTGTAAGTATAATTTGGAGAATATTAGTATGCTTCTGGTTTTGTAAATTTGAAAATAGGCATTCAGATATCATGTAAATATTGATTCTATATATAGAATTAGCTTTAAGAATTTTAAAAAATATTATTTTAGATTATACCATGTGTACTATTTATCTTAGCATAATTTCTTTAAACACTCTAAAGTTTGTGAAGGTTTTAAGGTAACATATGTTAATTGTTTTCAGAGTTCTGAAATTTATCATTTGATTAAAGAGAAGTTTCTTTTTTTCAGTAAATATGATGAATGGTACTCTTTTCTCATCTAATATTATTAATGACTCAAGGGTTTTATTTATGCTTTTAAGGCTGAATTCTTCTTCTTCTTCTTCTTTTTTTTTTTTTGAGACGGTGTTTCGCTCTTGTTACCCAGGCTGGAGTGCAATGGTGTGATCTCGGCTCACCGCAACCTCTGCCTCCTGGGTTCAGGCAATTCTCCTGCCTCAGCCTCCTGAGTAGCTGGGATTACAGGCACGTGCCACCATGCCCAGCTAATTTTTTTGTATTGTTAGTAGAGACGGGGTTTCACCATGTTGACCAGGATGGTCTCGATCTCTTGACCTCGTGATCCACCCGCCTCGGCCTCCCAAAGTGTGAATTCTTTTTTTAACAAAAGAATTCACACACTCAGATTTACACAAATATCAAAGAATACTTTTATTTAAAATAAACTTCCTGTTTAATCAATAATTAGAACAAATAGCTGTGAGAAGTCAATTTTTAGTATACTGAATAAATTGCAGATATGTGTTAAAATTGTTATATAATATATAATTATTAAACTGTGTAAGGCTTTGCATATGATTTATCTGTTTTCATAATTTTAAAGCTTGTCTTTTGTGTTTTTCTGTAGAGTAACTGTGGCCAAAAAATAAAAATTCGCCGTGTTTTAATGAATTGCCCAGAGATTGTTACAATTGGTTTAGTCTGGGACTCTGAGCATTCTGACTTGACCGAAGATGTTGTACGGAATCTAGCAACACATCTTTATCTTCCTGGGGTATCTTAAACTATTTTCATTCCCTTCTTTTTATTTTCAAATTCTTCTAAAACATCTTGATATATATTATGATACATTTATTTTGATTTCAAAACTAAATTTTTTTTTTCTGAAGAAAATATTACTACTCTGATGTTTTATCCGATAAAGCCAAGTTTAATCAAATCAGGCAAACTGGAATGTCTTTATTACATAGACTAGGAATGGCTTTCAATTATAAACTAAACTGTCTTATGACTTTTGCTTCTTTCACTCTAAAATGATGATGATAGATGATTTTTTATATATGGCCATGATTGTAAATATTGTTAACTTAGAAAGGTTTCAGATTTAAAATTTATCTTAAGTACTGATGTCTCTCTCTCTCTTTTTTTTTTTGACACAGTCTTGCTCTGTCACCCAGGCTGCAGTGCATTGGCACAATCTTGGCTCACTACAACCTCCACCTCCCAGGCTCAAGCAATTCTCATGTTTTAGTCTCCCAAGTAACTGGGATTACAGCCATGCACCACCACAGTCAGCTAATTTTTTGTATTTTTAGAAGAGAGGGGGTTTCACTATGTTAGCCAGGCTGGTCTCAAACTCCTGGTTTCAAGTTGATCCACCTGTCTTGGCTTCCCAAAGTGCTGGGATTAAAGGTGTGAGCTACCACACCTTGCCATGATCTCTTAATATGCTTGTAACTTTCTTAATATATTTTGAATTGGTTGATGTTACAATTAAAGTTTTAGATAATTATCTTTTAGATATTTTTAATGAACATTCAAATATGTGATTCAGTCAAAAATTACCAGATATGTGGAATTCATCTCATATTTTGAATTTCTTTATGAAAAGTTTCAGTCATGTGTCATTAGAGATATTCTATTACTAATTGGTAGTGAATTTGTTTTATTGGACTTAATGTTTCTATGAACAAATTAAAAGTAGTAATTCTGTTAACAGTGTGATCTCAGTGGTGCCTTCAAGTAACAATATCATAATATTGGAGTGGGGCAGTATGCATGAGAAATACTTCATGAGTCAAATACATGATTCACCTAATTATTCCTCATTTTAAAAAAGATATAGTGTTAAGTGTACATTACTAATTTTTTAAACAGCTTTTTTATAGGGTTACTGATGAAAATGCCAAAAATAGTGAACTTCTCCTTGTTGGTATGATCTGCTACACCAGCCGACATTATTGTGCCTTTGCATTTCACACCAAAAGTTCCAAATGGGTTTTTTTTGATGATGCAAATGTGAAAGAGGTAAGTGACACTTTCTTTAACTGAAATAATTACTGTGATTTTTACTTTTTGGTAACAAATAACATATTGATATTAATACTCAAAAGGGTATTTGATATAATTATGCAAAATAGTAATAAATGAACATGATGATGCTGGCATCATCAAGTTCAAACTTTCTTTTTTTATTCTTGAAATTGGCTTATTTTGAAGCCAACTTTTAAATTAGTCCTTTCCAGAATAATAATAAACTGACTAATGAATGTTAGTATACAAATATGTAACTATCAGTGATCTGTCAGTGATTATCCTTTTTGCCTAATGCATAGTTGCTATATTAATTTTTTAGTAGATTATTCACAGTAGTTTTGTATAACTAGTGATAAAATGTGCTTGTCTTTATTTTTATTATGACAATTTTTTTTCAAATTTTGTGTGCGGCATACAAAGATAGATATATCAGTTATATTTTTCGGTAATTATAGTCGACCCTTGAATAACATAGGCATGCCAAAGCCCCCGTGCAGTTGAAAACCCACAACCAACTTTCAACTCCCTGGAAACTTAACTGCCGACAGCCTACTATTGATAGGCAGCCTTACCAAAAACATAGTCAATTAACACATATTCTTTATGTTACATATATTTTATACTTTACTCTTACAGTAAAGTAAGCTAGAGAAAAAATGTTACTTAGAAAATTATAAGCAAAAGAAAATATATTTACCACTTACTAAGTGGAAGTGGATCATCCTAAAGGTCCTCATCCTTGCTGTGTTCACGTTGAGTAGGCTGAAGAGGAAGAGGAAAAGGAAGGTTGGTTTTGCTGTCTTGATGGCAGAGACAGAAGAAAATCCGTATATAAGTGAACCTGTGCAGTTCAAACCTGTGTTGTTCAAGGGCCAACTGTAATTTATTTACTCAAATTGTAATAATATTGTCTATGAAAGTAGTGAATAATAGTTCTTAATAAGGAATATCGGAATCACATGAGGAGCTTTTGAAAAAGCATATATGCCTAGACTCCTAAAGTTTTGATTTAATGGTGTAAAGGCAGGTATCTGAAATTTTAAGTTTTACAGGAAATTCAGACATAGCACCGTTAAAAACTGTTGGTCTTGGCAGTACTGTTCTCAGGCTTATAGGCTTTGGCAATCTTTATTAAGCAGTAAACTCATTTAAAAATACAAGTTCTTTGGTTGTTATAAGCAAATGATGTAGATTTCTGTTTAGTTTCATTTTAATATACAACCAAAGGCCATTTATCAGCACTGTGATTAAGACAATACAAGTTCAAATATTTGGTATTAAGTGGACTTCTAATTCTACCCATGAAGGATTAACTGCTATAGAAATAGCCATTTCGCTGTTTAAAACTAAGACATAGGTGAAACAACTCTTTTTAGACATTGAACAACACGCAGTTGAACACAGAAAAGGGAAACAAATGAGGTCAGCTCTATAATTACCCACTGCTTACTGCCTAGAGGTAGTTTCTGGGTTGCAATGCAGGCAATGGGAGCCCAAACAAAGCCCAGTAGTGTCACTGAGTTCTGGAGACTGAAATTGAAGTTCAGGGAGGCCTAGATGGCTAAAATTTGCAGGACAGAGTATCAGAAAGAAAACGGCACAGGAGAAAGTTCTGTAAATTGACGTAGGGGAATTTTTGGCTAAATCGTTATCTGTGTATGTGAGGGGTGAACCCACAAAAGTTTGGGGCTAGTTGAGAGAGATGGGAAGCCTCACTGGAAAACAAAAGATAAAACAGTTCTCAAAAATCATGCAAGGTTAGTAATAGTTTGTATCCCCAACATAAAGAGTGGAGAGATGATATAACATGTAGGCATTTGCTAGAATTTTCAGAAAAGTATTACCTTGATAATGGGGCTAAATTATTTCTAGGCTGATTGTTGTTCTGTACCTGATATTAAAAAGCTTAAAACAACGTCGGGCACAGTGGCTCATGCCTGTAATCCCAGCACTTTGGGAGGCTAAAGTGGGCAGATCATGAGGTCGAGATCGAGACCATCCTGGTCAACATGGTGAAACCCTGTCTCTGCTAAAAATACAAAAATTAGCTGGGTGTGGTGGCTTATGCCTGTAGTCCCAGCTACTCGAGAGGCTGAGGCAGGAGAATCGCTTGAACCCAGCAAGATACAGGTTGCAGTCAGCTGAGATCATGCCACTGCACTCCAGCGTGACGACAGAGTGAGACTGTGTCTCAAAAACAAAACAAAACAAAACAAAAAACTTAAAGCCTTGAAAGGACAAAGCTAATTCTACTTTTCAAATAGCACAACAAAATTCAAGACTACAAAGTTCAATGAAATTTCAATAAGCCACTTCAAAATGGCGTTCAATAAAAAGTAACCAAGTATGCAAAGAACCTGAAGAAAAATTAATAAAAACAGACCAGAAATGACTGACATGGGAATAGCAGGGAAGGATAGTAAAACTATTATTTATATATAGGGATTTCTTAGATAAGATTTAATAAGCATGAACCTTAAAATTAGTTGATAAATTAGACTTCATCAAAAGTTAAAATTTTTGTTCTTTGGCAAGAATGAAATGACAAACCATAAACTGGGAGAATAATATTTGTGAAACATGTATCTAATAAAGGCTGTATCCAGAATATTGAAAGAACTCTTAAAACCCAATAAAAAAAATCAAGAATTGTTGACAGTTCACCAGTGAAGATATATGAATGGCCTTTGAAATGATATTCAGTACATCATTAGCCACAAAGGAAATACAAATTTAATTCATAATGAGATTCCACTACTTACCTGTTGTAATGGCCAAAATTAAAAAGACTGACCATACCAATAGTTGGTGAGGATGAGAACAGCTAGATCTCTCACATGAGGCTGATGGAACCACAAAATTGAAAGTTCACTTACAAAACTGTCAGTTTCTTATAAATTTAATCATATATTTATCATATAACCCAGCAAATCCACTCCTTTGAAAACATAAGTCCACATAAAACGTGTACTTGAATGTTCTTGGTAGTTTTCTTCATAATAGCCCAAACTAGAAATGACTCAAATGTCAACAATAGGTGAATGGATGAACAAATTGCGGTATAGCTATACAGTGGAATATAATACTCAGCAAGAAGGACTGAACTATTGATGCATGCGATAATATGAACAAATCTCAGAAGCATTATGCTAAGTGAAAGAAGTGAGTTATAAATGACTACATGCTATGATTCCATTTATATGAAATTTCTAGAAGGAAAAACAAAGGTGTAGAAAGTAGATCATTTTCAGGGACTGCAAACTGGGGTGTAAGGTAAGGTTTGGGGGTGAGGATTACATGATTATGTTATCAAAACTCACTGACTTGTACACTATAACTAGATAATTTTAATTCATATAGTATACCTCAATAAAGCTATTAAAAATTTTGGGTATTTATGTTGCAAAATCAGTACTTTGCTTAAATTACTTAGTACTTTTTTGTAGTTTATTAAATTTCATCTTGAGTCAATGTGTAACAACATTTTGCAGTTTCTACTTTGCTTTTACATAGTTTAAATTGTCAAAATTTGGAGGAAGAACTGGGTAATCATCCTGTGAAGTTTTTTGTTATTTTATTTTCACATTGACTCCTCAAAGCCTGGCCAACATGGTGAAATTCCATCTAAAAACACAAAAATTAGTCAGGTGTGGTGGCACATGCCTGTAATCTGAGCTACTCAAGGGGGTAGAGGCATGAGAATCTCTTGAACCTGGGAGACAGAGGTTGCAGTGAGCTGAGACCATGCCACTGAACTCCAGCCTGGGTGACAGAGTGAGACCTTTTCTCAAAAACAAAAAACAAAAACAAAACAAAACAAAACAAAACAAATGGACTCCTCAAGTCCAGTGAGGAGGATCAACAGCTGAATATGTGTAGTTTGAAAAAGCTCATTGGAATTTTTCTTAAAAGTCCCCTTCCCTGCAAAAATATTCTAGAATGCTTTGTGGTGTTTTTGTTTGGTTTTGCTTTGCTTTTAAATCAACTTTATAGAGGTATAGTGCACAAACATTAAAATACACCCATTTTAAGCGTCCAGTTGGAGTTTTGATAAATGTATTCACCTATGTAACCACTATAATCAGTACACAGAATATGTTCATCACCCTAGAAAAATTCTATCAGTTTTCTTTGTTGTGATACTCTCTATACCACTCCAGGCCCAGGAAATCACTGGTCTCATTATAGATTAGTTTTACTCATTCTACGATTTTATATAAATGGTCTCTTACAGTATGTACTACTCTGTGTCTGCCTCCCTTCCTTCAGCATAATGTCTTTAAGATTCATTCATGTTGTTTGGATCCATGCTGTATTTTTATTGTGTGTTTTATGGCTGTACAACAATTTATCCATTTACCTATTGAAGTATGAATAAGCTGTTTGTGAACATATTTTTTTCCATTGCTCTTAGATAATACCTAGAAGTGGGATTTCTGGGTTGTATGGTAAGTGTCTGTTAAACTTTACAAGAAACTATCAAACTGATTTCCAACTGGTTATGCCAGTTTGCATTCTATGATAGCAATGTATGAGAGTTCCTGTTGTTCCACATTCTCAGCCGCACTTCTGTTGGGGTCTTTTTAACATTAGCCCTCCTAGTATATGTATAACAGTATCTCACTATGGTTTTCATTTGCATGTCCCTTGTGATTGGTAATATTTTGAGCATCTTTTCATGTGCTTGTTGACCATTCTTAACATCTTTCTCTTGGTGAACTGTCCAAATTTTTGGCCAGTATTTCATATTGGATTATCTTCTTATTAATGTGTTGTAGGAATTCTTTATTTTGCATTCCAGTCCTTTATTAGATGTATGTTGCTTATTTTTTCAATTTCTTAATGGTGTCTTTCCAAGAGAAAAAGTTATTAATTAATTTTGATTAAGTCCATTTAAAAAATATTTTTCTTCTATGGTGTGATATGCTGAGAAATCTGTCCTTCCCCAAAGTTGTAAAGATTTTCTCTTTTATTTTCTTCTGTAAGTTTTGTAGTTTTTGTATGAGCCATTGTGAGTTAATTTTTTTTTTTTTTATTTATAGGAAATCAGGCCAAAGTTCTTTTTCACCAGTTGTAGCACCATTTGTTGAGCCAACTCTTATATTTTTCCACTAAATTGCCTTGAAATCTTTGTCAAATGTCGGTCAAGCACATATTTAGAAAGCTTTTTAAAATTTAATCACCTTGAAGTTTATAATCTTTGCCCTCAAAATTTTAAGTGATAATGTATAAAAGATTTTTATTTAGACTAGCTACTAAATGCTATTAATATATATTATGATACATACTCGAACTACTAGCATCTGCATATCTAAATTTTTAACAAATATAAAGTAATTCAGAGTCTCTGCCTTTTCATATAACACATTGATTATAAGGTTTTGTTTTGTTTTTATTCATTGTGGTTTTTTAAAAGATTGGAACTAGATGGAAAGATGTTGTCTCCAAATGCATTCGATGCCACTTTCAGCCACTACTTTTGTTTTACGCAAACCCAGATGGCACAGCAGTTTCTACTGAGGATGCACTCAGGCAGGTCATCAACTGGTCACATTATAAATCTGTTGCAGAAAATATGGGTAATTCTTTCTTTTTAAATTTTTCAATGTTTTTCTATTATCACAGTCAACTAGGAATACTAATACTCTGAATATAAAATGAATATTGAGGATTACTTCAAATTTGATTTTCAGTAGAGTTCAGGAAATTTTAGTAATTTTTGTTAGTATTTTGGAATGAACCTTTTCTCATCAGTGGCCTCAGAAGCACCTTCAGGAGTTACCCACTATTATGATCACACAATCACAGAAGAGGCTTTACTAGTAGCTCTTTCTAGAAGTACATTTTAAGTGATTTAGTAAACTGGAAAAGTCCAAAACAGCTAAGTTATTTTTGGATGCATTGTAAAGCATTTTGAAATTCTTAAATGATATCAGTCCTCTAAGTTTTACTTAACTGTTTCTACAGTTAAAAATATCTGAAAAAAATGATTCAAGCATCTCTTCTCATGAGAAGGAAAAGAATGATACATTTTGTTTATCTTTTTAAGGATGTGAAAAGCCTGTAATTCATAAGTCAGATAATTCAAAAGAAAATGGATTTGGTGATCAGGCTAAGCAGAGAGAAAATCAGAAATTTCAAACTGATATTTCATCGTCTAATCGGAGCCATATTCACACAGGTGTAGGGAGAGGGCCAGGTATGTGTTTAAATTGTCATTTTTACATAGTTCCAGGTGAGTGTCTGCCTTTCTTTACTCTGGGGGATGCTTAACTAGCTTTCCTTGGCTATGAAGAGATAATAACAAGTAGATAACAAAATTCGTCGTATTTTGATTTATGCATTTCTCTGAGTTCTGTAGTTTTTATCTGACCAGTCTGATTCCATGAATTGTTTGAGTTTCTCCATGGGCTCAGACTGTGGTAGACCTGAGGCAATCTGACCTCAGTTACCAAATAAAGCAATAATGTGGCATTTCCTTCAAGGAGTTAATAATCAGCTTGGAGCAGAAAAACATGAGTAATTTGGCATAAATGCCAAAATTAAATTTACTGGTAGTGAATGAAACAGTATTTCAAAGATACTATTGCCGTAGTTTGTTCTAAACTTCATTTTTATTCAATTCTGTCTTGTTATTGTTATCCCATAACTAATTTTCACAAGCCAAGTTCTGTAACTTTGGTTCAAAATAAGACCTCACAATATTGTGTATAGTTATGGTTTAGAAATATATATAACTCTTGGGGATGTTCAGAATGATTTTGTAAGCAACTTTTAAATATATTAATGAAATAATGTCTAATCATAAAAGTAACCCATTTAATCAAGGGTAGTAAGACTGAGAATTAACAATTATCCACAAAGAACTAAAATAAAGGCTTTTAAAAAATTCTTAATGAAGGTATATCTCTTTTCCTTTCACAGATTATCAATATGCTTAGATTAACGCATTTTATGTTTTTCAAAAGACACCTAGTTTTAAGCCCAGAAATAGTATATATGTGTGTAAGAACAGAAGCATTGAAACCAGAAAAGTTGGGTTATTCCCAGTTCTAGACTTACAAACTTTGTGAACTTGGGCAAATTCCTAATTTCTCTCTGCCTCCATTTCCTTACCCAAAATAGAGACAGTAATTGTACCTCAGAGAAATAAATGAGTAAGACACCTGGCACATAGAGACCATTCAGTTACCTTTAGCTCTTATTTTAATGGCAGATCTGTTTTTTCCTTTATACTTGTTTTAGCGACTACACAAGAAATTTTAAAAGACAACATGTATCTCTAGTGTCAAGAAAAATCACATTTAATATTTAATCATAAAAATACCATTGTATGCTATATACCAACATATCTATGCTCTTTTTAAATAAGTAATATCTTACCATTTTTATATAGATCAATTTTTATTTTTATTGAGCAATTTGAAAAATGATCTGTATCACAGTAAGAATGATTTCTTTTACAGCTAAGTTAAGTCACATTGATCAAAGGGAAAAGATAAAAGACATTTCCAGAGAATGTGCTCTGAAAGCTATTGAACAGAAAAACTTACTCTCTTCACAAAGGAAAGAGTTAGAGAAGGGACAAAGAAAAGATTTAGGACGACATAAAGGTAAGTTAAGATCTTATACTATTGATTTTTGAAGGGGCTGCTAAAAATCTTATTTTAAAACAATTTTATAACTCTAATTTCTGTATATATTAAAAAATATATATTTCTGTATATATTATATAAAACATGCAAATTACATATATTTCTATATATGTATAAATATATAAATTTTATCTATGTATAATTTATGTATATAGTTAATATATAGAAATCAAATTATATTAAAGTTATTTTTAATAACTATAAGAGAGGAGATCTCATTCTGTTGCCCAGCCTAGAGTGCATGACACAATCATAGCTCTCTGCAGTCTTGAACTCCTGGGTTCAAGCTGTCCTCATATCTTAGCCTTCTTAGTAGCTAGGCACATGCCACCATGCCTTGTTAAATTTTAGAAAGTTATTTATAGAGATAGGGCCTTGCTGTGTTGCCTAGACTGGTCTTGAACTGCTGGCTTCAAAGGATCCTCTTGCCTCAGCCTCCCAAAGCACTGGGATTACAGGCGTGCCCAAACCTATTATATTTTACATATTTATATATTTATTAATATGAGTTCTTTAATATACCTGTACTTAATATGTAGAATTTTCCTGGTTCTTATTTAATTCTAACCTGGGATACTTGTATATGTGTTTTGATGTTTTAACTTATTCATAGATATAATTCACTCATGGCATTCAAGTATAAGAAAGTTTATGAAATTAAGTGAAGGGGCTCCTTTTCTGGCAATCCCTGATCATACCTCTCTTTACTTAGTATTTCCATTTCATAATAAGCATGTCTTTTTATGGTTTTCTGCTTTTTTCTTTATGGACAGAACATAATTTAACTAATACTGATAGACTTTAAAGGCTGATTTAAGATTTTTGCTTCAGCAACATCCTTTCCACACATACCTTTGTATGTTTTTGCATCTAGCCATAACACAAAATTCCTTCAGAGGAATTGCTGAGTCAGGATATATTTACTTTTAATTTTGACAGACATGTCTCTGTTGCCCTCCTGAAAGACTAGTCTGCATTCCAACCAACAATAATTGGATGTTCTAAGCAGCAATTGGTTGAACAAACTTTTAAATCTTTACCAATATAAGAAGTGGAAAATATTTTACTGTTTTTGTTATTATGAGTTAGATAGAGTGTTTATTTTTTTAAAAAAAACTGCCTCAATTATGATCTACCTTAAAGATCATTTTTTAAAGTTTGTTTCTTTTATAAATACCCCTCATTAAGCATACATAAGGACTGGAAAAGCACTTTTAAATTTCAAAGCAGTATGTGATAAAACGTACTTTTAATTACTATTTACCTAAAACTATTTAACATTTTATCTCTAACAGGTATTTTTGCCTTGTGACTAAAAGGTAGCTCTGAGGAGTAATTCATGTGTATCTTTAATTTTTTTTTTTTAAGATTTACTTGATGAAGACCTTTCACATTTCAAGTCTGGATCACCTCCTGCCCCAAATGGTTTTAGGCAATATGGGAATCCACATCTATATCATAGTCAAGGAAAAGGGACATATAAACATGACCGAGTTGCACCTCAGAGTCGAGCTTCTGCACAGATAATAAGTTCAAGTAAATCCCAGATTCTTGCTCCAGGAGAGAAAATAACTGGCAAGGTTAAGAATGACAATGGCACTGGATATGATACAGACAGCAGCCAAGATTCTAGGGATAGAGGAAATAGCTGTAATAACAGCAGTAAAAGCCGGAACCGAGGTTGGAAACCTATGAGAGAAACATTAAATGTTGATAGTATTTTTAGTGAAAGTGAAAAAAGACAGCATAGTCCAAGACACAAACCAAATATTAGTAACAAACCTAAATGTAGCAAGGATCAAAGTTTTAGTAATTGGCCAAAAGAGAATCCGAAGCAAAAAGGTTTAATGACCATATATGAAGATGAAATGAAGCAGGAAATAGGAAGCAGAAGTTCCCTTGAATCTAATGGAAAAGGAGCAGACAAAAATAAAGGCCTTGTAGAGGGTAAAGTGCATGGTGATAATTGGCAGATGCAAAGGACTGAGTCTGGATATGAAAGCAGTGATCACATCAGTAATGGATCTACTAATTTGGACTCACCTGTTATCGATGGAAATGGTACAGTAATGGATATCAGTGGTGTTAAAGAAACAGTATGCTTCAGGTAATATAAAAGTTGAGTGAATCATTTTTCCATCACTATTCTTTCCTGTTAATCTCATGAAGTAATTTTTGAAGCTTGGGGTCAATTAAATAGGTTGGAACAACATGAGCTGTTTTAAAGAGCTTTAAAAAGTTTGTTTCTCTTAAATACAAGTATGTTTCTGTAAAGAAACTTAGGATATTGCAGTTTATTTGATATTTTAGATTTCTGTTTTTAATAGTTATTTCCTTATTCCAAAAATAGCAGCTTTTTTAGAAAATTTGGGAAGTACAGAAGTTTATTATCACTGTTGTATCACTGTCAACAATTGATTGGTTTTAAAGCACAGACTTCAATTGGTATCATTTCAGTCATGAAGTTGGTTGTTTAATTCTTTTTTGGGTGGTGGGGGAAAGGAGTCTCGCTCTGTGGTTCAGGCTGGAGTGCAGTGACATAATCATGGCTTACTGCAACCCCCGCCTCCTGGGTTCAAGTGTTTCTCCAGCCTCAGCCTCCCAGGTAGCTAGGACTATAGGCACACACTACCATGCCTGGCCAATTTTTGTATTTTTAGTAGAGATGGGGTTTTGCCATGTTGGCCAGACTGTTCTTGAACTCCCAACCTCAGGTGATCTGCCTGCCTTGATCTCCCAAAAGTGCTGGGATTATAGGCCTAAACCACTGCGCCTGGTCTGTTGTTTAATTCTTCAATCTATGTGATGTTTATAATCTCATCTCTAACATTTGTAACTCAGAACTGAAGCTATTTTTTTACTGTCACAACTCAGTCTCATGGAAGAGATATTTTCTTTAGCAAATATAAAAAAAAGCCAAATAACTAAGTTTGTGTTCAATTAATTCTAAATACATTTATTATATTACTATTTAATCCTTCTAAAATGTGTTTGTTTGATATTAGCTGGTATTTTACCACATGTTATTAAAAGGTAGATTTGCAAAAATCAATTGCCCATGTTTTATGAAAATACTTGTTTCAATAAAGACTTAAGGAAAAGGCCAGGTTTGGTGGCTTATGCCTATAATCATAGCACTTTGGGAGGCTGAGGCAGGAGGACTGCTTGAGCCTAGGACTTTCAAACTGGCCTGAGCAACATGATGAGATCTCGTCTCTACAAAAAAATTTTTAAAAGTTAACGAGATATGGTGCCATGTGCCTGTGGTCCCAGCTACTTGGGAGGCTGAAGGGGGAGGATTGTTTGAGCCCAGGAGGTCAAGGCTACAGTGAACCATGTTTTGTCTACTGTATTCCATTCTGGGCAAAAAGTCCTGGCTCAAAAAAAGAAAAAAAAAAAAAAAAGACTTGACAGGGTAATTTTATAATTCTTCTTGGAATGGAGTAGCTCAGGATAGTAGAAAGATCAGTCAGGACTTTATAACCAGATAGACTTAGATTTTAATTACTGGGCAAATTAATTTGACTTTTACAGTCTTCATCTTCTATTGTAAAATGAAGATAACAACTACTTTTAAGTATTGTGAAATGTATATTAAATAATGTACATTAAGCCCTAGAACAGCACATGGCATATAACTGTTTAACAAATGTTGTTTTCTTTTTTAGAATAAATTAAGGTAGTCCATAATAACTGATATGTTTAGCATGTATTTTATTTTCTAGTGACCAGTTTAAGACAAGCAACCTAAATAAAGAACATGGGGACTGTACCTCCCTTCAGACCCAAAATCACTTAGAAGGTAAAAAGCTTATTTGAATATAATAGTTGCTGTAAAAAATAAATCATAGTAATTTATTGTTTGCTATTATGATGTACCTAAGAAAAAAATCCTATATTACTATAAAAATTATTTTTAAATAACTTGAAAATATCAATAAATTTTATTAAGTTAATATGTTTTAATGTGCAAAGAAGGAAATCAGCATTCTTTTTTATATGTATATTGTCATACAAAAGAAAGCATTGGCTTTCACATTGGCTTCACAGAGTGTTAATAATGGTTTTGTATCCTTGCATCTCACTTTTTATTTGATTGGATAACTATTGCTTTTGAAACTTGCAGTCTTTTTTAATGTGCTGTTTGGATATGTCTCTGATATTGCAGATAGTATTAGATTCCTTCTCTTTTGATTTAGATGATGAAGTTTTTCAACTTTTTTTTTTTTTTTAAGTAGCAGTTTGCATTTTAAGTGTCCACATTAGGGACCCTTGAACACATTGCTTTTGATGCTGATCCTTACAAATGGGATTTGGGATTCAAATAGGCAGGAGTATTTGTCTATGGTGGCTTGTTAACACATTACTTTTACTTAACAGAAGGTATATTTCTATATTTGCCAAGAAGAATGTTGTGTTCTGATAGTTTAGAAACTTGTCTGTGGACTGTTGTTTCTTACTTTATTTATCTCCTACCTTTTATGCCTATGGGAAATTAAAAAGAGAATGGTCCATTTTTTTCTCTGAGGTAAGAGTAAAGAAGGTAAGAATGGTCCTGTTACTAATAAGTTTGTGATAATGAGGGAAGTTGAGAGCATTCATACTTGATGGCTTTTAAAGGATGGGAAAAGCTAGGAGAAAAGGAGGAACTCTATCAGGATAGATAGGTTTTAGATTATGCAATGGTAGTATCTCCAGAATCTCAAGGTGTTAACTCAAGTTTGTTTCTTGCTCACAATACAAGTCCAGAGGTGATCAGTGTAGTCTCTTCTTAGGAGTCACTCAGGACCCCAGGCTAAGGGGATATAGGTGAGGAGGAGGTAAAGGAAGATACAGTATGGAGAATCACCTGCCAAGTTTTAAAATTTCAAACCAGAAGTGACACATGCACTTCCACTTCCATATCATTGACCAGAGCTAGTCTTCTAACCAGGCCTGATTTCAAAGAAGGTAGAAAAGTGTAGTTTTATAGGTGCTTGGAATTGAATGGAAGTATGTATGAACAACTCTAATGACTGCCACAGTAGTTAAGAACAAATAGAAAGATTGATTAAACAGCCTTCTGGAAAAGTTCAGTTTGGCAACAGTAACTATGCAATGGTGTGGGATTATTGTAGGCAATTTGTTAGCACATAATAGCCCAGAAGCAAAGAAAGTTAGACATTTGAATGTATACAGGGTTCAGGATTGCTATTGGGAATATATACCTGAAGAATTTGAGGGAGAGAGGTCAAGGAAGATGATTAGTAAAGGGATTATTATGTTCCAATCAAAGACAATGTTTTCAACTTTTATAACTCAGAGGAATAGAAGGGATGTAAGTTTTCCCAATATAAAAGAGCAATGAGCAGCAAATTTTAAAGTTTTTTAGTCTTTATTATCCTTAAGGCTTTTGTGGGGATTATTCGTCAGTTTACAGACACAGAATGTGATTAAATGTTAAATTATTTTGTTTTCATTAAATGGTATACTATCAGAAGGAAACACTTATATTAAGGAAATAACCTTCCTTTCCCATATTAGAATGTCTCGCCTGATAAAATCTGATAAGTCTGGTAACCAAGTATTACAGGAAACAGTACAGGGTTGGCCAGAAATCATAGCAAAAGTCAGTGAGATTGAACAATAACTACAAGTTCAGTACTTGTTACAAAATGATGCTTACTTCCTGATAGTTATAAAAACACAAGTTCATAGAGATTTTGTTGGTCAAAAGTACATTGCTCTAAGAACTTTGCAGTAGGTTTCCTCAGTTAATATGAAAGAATGTGTATGTGATGCACTTAAACATGCTTTTTTGTGGTAAAATATACATAACCAAATTTACCATTCTAACTGTTTTTAAGTGTACAGTTCACTGGCATTAAGTATATTCACATTGTTGTGCAACCATTATTACCATATATCTCCAGAATTTTTTTTATCTTCTCATACTGAAGTTCTCTACCCATTAAACAACTCCTCATTCTTCCCTCCTCCCAGTCCTTGGCAATCACCATTCTACTTTTTGTGTCTATGAATTGGACTACTTTAGGTACTTCATGTAGGTGGAACCATATAATATTTGTCCTCTTGTGTGTGGGTTATCTCACTTAGCATGATGACTTCAAGGTTCAACCATGTTGTAGATGTATCAGAATCTCATTCCTTTTTAAGAGTAATATTCCATTGTATTATATACCACATCTTGTTTACGCATTCATCTGTACGTGGACATGTGGGTTGTCACTACTCTTTGGCTATTGTGAATAATGCTGCAATGAATATTAGTGTGCAAATGTCTGTTCGAGTTCCTAAAGTCTTTTGAATATATACCTAAAAGTGCAGTTGCTTTGTCCTCTGGTATTTATATGTTTATGTTTTCAGGAACTGCTTTACTATTTTTATAGCAGGTGTACCATTTTACATTCCCACCAGCAGTGCATAAGGACTCCAGTCTCTCCATAGCCTCACTAGCACTTGTTATTTTCTGTTTTAATAGGTATCTTATTGTAGTTTTGTGTAACCCACTCTTTATTTAACTAAATAAATTATACTATTTTAAAGTTATTTCTGATTTCATAAACTTCCCTACTTCAAAGCCTACCATGGTTCTCTAAGCCAGTCTTTAACTTGAGAACATCTGTTTGTGTTGTACCTTGTAGTATTGTGTATTCCCTTCCTCCAGTCTGAGACTGAGAATATGTGGAAAAGTGATACAGGAATTTTTTTCCCAACTTAAGAGCTTGCTGTGCATGGGTTTTTTCCCCCGCATGAGGGACAGTTAATTATAATTCTGTGACTATATATGATTTTCTTCATTCATTCTTATTTATAAAATGAGGGCACACTTACATTATTGACCTATAGGATCATTTTATTCAATAGCTAAAAGACTTAGAAGTTAAAGAGCCTTAGAAATTTCTTATTTTCATATTTTCTAGACATTTTGTCAATTTTTAATATTAGTCTACACAGATATATTTAATGGTAGAGGACCAAAATCTATAATAATGCCACTGTTATTTCTGCTTTTTTATTCCATTAATAGGTATTATATAGGCTCGTCTGCCTATGTCATGAGGCATTCTGCTGCAAAAATCAATCTCTACACTGCCTAAAGCCGTTATATTTGGAAACATTGTTTAAATTGCCACAATGCCATTTGGAATGTTTTAGCCCCCTTTTAAAAATGGAATTCTAGTGTAGGAATTTCACATGCCTTAAATTACATTTCTTCTGGGAAAGACAGAAGAAATGTTTAAAACACATTGTCAGGAGAAAGCATCACATATTTGAAGAACACAAGTAGTTTGGTATATGCAAGGCAGAAGTGCATGCATGGAATCATGGGATAATGGCAAAAGGGATAGATAGAAGCCAAACTATTATGAAAGTTTGTGCTATTTTTTTAATCATAGAGGAAATGGAGAGGCAACAAATAACAAGAATGGTATGCTGTGATTTGCATTTTAGGAAAGTCTATGTTGGTAGTGAAAAGGGTAAATTTGGGACAGTGGGGGAAAAATTAGATGACTCCTAGGCTATTGTAATAGCCTAGGAGAGAAAAGTTGGGGCGTGAACAAAGGCAGTACCACTATCAAGAAGGATTTGAGAGACAATAAGCATATGTGGGCAGGATAATTAGTTAGGTTTTGTGACATGCACCAAATGAGAGAAAGGGAAGCTGGGATAGATGTACTTGGGTTGTATACAACTAGATTTACCATTTAGTAAAATGGGTAATATAGGAAGAAGGAACAGATTTTGAAGGTGGAAGGATGGCAAGTTTATATTTTAATTCGTTAAGTTTATCATCGAGGTAAACAGCATTATTAGGCAGTTAGGGACATAAGTCTAGAACTTGGGAAAGATGATATATTTGAACCATTCACGTATATGGGAATTGAGTGCCGTAGACACAAACAGGATCATAAAGGAAAATTGGAGATTGTAGGGCAAAAATAGACCAAGTAAGGAACATGGAACAATAGCTGAGGTAGAGAAGCAAGCTAAAGCTAGAGAGAAGGAGCAACTGTAGAAAGGAACGAGAAAGGGGATCTGGAAAGACAGGAGAAAATATAGGAGATGGGGTTTATGTTTTCAGGAACTGCTTTACTATTTTTATAGCAGGTATACCATTTTACATTCCCACCAGCAGTGCATAAGGAAAATGTGTGCATAACTGCATCACACTGTGTGCATAAGTGCATCACAGGAAAAGCAGAGAAACGTAGATCTTTCAGGGGGAGAGTGGCCATAGATTAAGCAGAATAAAGATGAAAAAGTGCCAGTTTGACTTAGTAGTTATTAGTGGCATAGTAAAAGGAGTGTTATAGGAACATTAGACACGAAAGCAAGACTGAAATAGAATTGAGGTATTTAGAAATAAAGGGCTATGTTTGTAACTTAATCTCAAATGGTCCCTCCCCCAAAAAACCCTATTATTAAAATGTTAATAATAGCTGAATCTGGAGAAGGGATATAATATACAGGTATATTTTATATTTTTCAGATCTTTCAACTTTTCTGAACTTTGAAAATTTATTTCCAAGTAAAAAGGTGAAAGATTACAGTAGACTAATGATTGCACAACAATGTGAATGTACTTAATGCCTCTGAAGTGTACAATTAAACATAGTTAGAATGGTAAATTTTGTAATGTATATTTTACCACAATAAAAAACTTTAAGTGCATTACATAGTTTTTCATATTAACTGAGGAAACCTATTGCAAAGTCCTTAGAGCAATGTGATTCTGAGCATCAGAATCTCTATGACCTTGTGTTTTGATAACAGGAAGCAAGAGAAGTTAAAAAAAAA